CGCTTGCTTATTAACTATATTAGCTTATTTATCTATTAAGTTTATTATTATATAATATTAAAAGATATTTTATTTATAAATTTATTTATCTTTATTTTATTTAAAAAAGATTAAGTACTTTTATAAATTAATAATAGAAGAAAAACTATTATATATTAGGTAATATTTTATTATTATAATATTATACTTAAATTATACTTAATCTAGATGGAAACCTATATTTTATATCTTTAATATTTTTATTTAATAATATTTAGTAGTTATTATAATAATATTTTAAGTATTAGGTTTTTAGTAGTATATCTTTACTATATATATATATATATATCATTATTATTTTTCTAAGATATTTATATAGCCTTCCGTTTAGGTGTATCTAGACGAAGTTGCCTTAAGAGATGCTGAGGCGAGATATATAAAGTGAGACCTAAATATCCTGAAATCTCGGCCGTGGCAGACGCCCGGCAATCAAGAGTATCGCGGCGGAGACTTAATGGTTCAAAATAGGGTCTTTTAGGTGTTCTAAGCTCGTGGCGATGTGCTTATGGTGAAAGATGTAAAAGGCATTTCGAGCTCGGCCAAGTGCCACCGTAGCTCTATATATGTTTTCAACAAATCCAGCTGTTAGTCTTCGCCCCGGCTAAGCTTCAAGGCGGCTGTGGGCCTTGGCCTCGACGACCTAGACGAGCGAGATGCCGCCGCCGGTCGTGATGGACGATGGAGGCGCGGGCGCGAGTGTAATAGTGTCACCCCTGCCGCTCGCTGGCTGCTTAAGCGAGAAATGTAAATAGAATATGTTCACACTTTTATAGAATTGAGAAAGAGCATTTAGGTGGGATAGTTAGCTGGGATTTAGACGAGATGTGTTGTTTTTAATAAAGCCGATTGCTCTTGCAATACTTTAAACCGCTTAATTAAGGGCTACTCTTAGACAGTATCTTTTATAATTTTATTTTCTCCTGTTCAATCAAGACGCATACCAGCGATTTAGAACCTCGTCGCACGGCTTATAAAACGCCCCTCTGTGTATCATCAATTCCCAAAGCAAAACAAGAAAAGATCTACCCAAACGTAAAGAGCAAACATGGACAACAAGTCCTTAGCTAAGCAAAAGCAGATAGGAAGAATAGAATCAGAATCAATCAAATTGTACACGGTCGCAAAGACCGAATTCTCTATTCAAGATCCGGACTGTGACTCTTCTTGCGGCGCAGGCTGCCAAAGCGACGCTTCAAGCCTTGGCTGATGCGACGCCCCGTCGAGTTTTGGCGGCCCAGGCTCTGCCCCTCATCGCCGCTGCCGCCCGTCTGGGCGCCCGAGGATCTGCCACTCGGCAGGCTACTGCGTCTCCGCAAGCTTTTGGCCATGAGCGGGTTACTCTCCATCTCGAAGCCGGCTTCAGCCTGTCCTTTACCCTTCTTCTGATCCCGCTCAATCGAAAAAGACGGCTCGCCCTTGCCCTTGAGATCATCCGGGTGGTAGTCGATGAAATCGTAGCGGCGGTAGGCGCCGCCGGGCGCGTCGGGTTCGCGCATCAGATCAGCGCCCTCCTCATAGACGAGGACGTTACCGCTGGCGTCGACGCCGCCGCTGGGGATGGTAGCGGTGCCCTGGAGCGGGCGGTGGTGGATAAGAGCGTCCTGGATAAACTCGCGCGGGGTGGCGCGCAGGGCGGCCATGTTGGAGTCGCGGACGGCCTCGACGGGCGCGTAGCGTGGGTTGACGTTGCGGCTAGCGAGCGTGGCGTCGTACGGGCCGTCGTGGTGGTAGGTTGGGCCGATGGTGTCGAGAAGATCAATGGTGTCAGCCTCGGAAAAGCGCTTGCGGTGGCGGCGGTCAGCGGCGCGCGTCTCGCGCCGAATCATGTCGAGTGGACGGTGAGACATGTCGCCGGGGAAGCGCTGCGGGAGGGCGCCGGGAGGACGCGAGGGGCGCTGCTGTTGCGGCTGGCGGGAGTGGCCGTCGCTGCGGCTACGGGAGTGCGGCTGGTGGTCCTGGTGAGACCGGGGGGATGGACCACGGGCGCTGGCGCAGCGGATAGGTAGGCGGTCGCTGTGGTAGGCGGCGGTGGGAGAGAGTGTGGAGGGCTGCGCGGCGACGGCGCTGTCAGACGTGACGGAGTCGGGGGACTGGGGTGGCGAGACGAGGCCGGTGTGGTGCGCGTGCGTCTCTTCGTGGTGCGTGTCGAGGTTGGACGTGCGGCGGGCGCGGCGGAACGAAGGCGCGGGCTTGAGGAAGCCGGTAGACTCGGGCGACGTCGATTTATTGAAGAAGTGGGTAGAAGCGCGGCTATCTGTAAATGGGTCTCGCGCGTCGTCGTTGCTGCTGAGGCTGGGCGAGCGCTTTGCGAGAATGTGATGACGGCTGCCGGCTTTTTTGGAGTCGGCGCGGTGGGGCGGCGAGGGCGGCGCGGTGCCGGAGGAGCTGGGTCGGGAGGCGCGGAGATGAACGTTGTAGTGGGAGGAGCCTGGACCAGTCTCTTGCGAGGGTTCCGGAGCGGTCAGAGGATCTAGAATATATCTCTTGGCCTGTTTCGGGGAAAAGAAGAATAAGAGACGCGCGTCAGCGAATGCGGCAGATGAGAATACGAGTGACAAGAGTTTTGGTGGAGTGGTTGCGTATGCATGCGTCTTGGCGAGTAATAAAATATGTGGTTAGGGGGGGAAAAAGAGCAAAAAAAAAAAAAGGAAGGAAGGAAGGTGGAAAGTGTAGAAGTTGGAGAGGAAATGATTAGAAAGAAAAAGTGGTGATGGGCAGGGGGTGGAAATTTTTCTATTAAGCACTGCTGCTGTCTTCAACGGTATATGTGCCCAAGTAGGGATGCGCACTTGGTGACGTCGTTGTCACCAGGAAGAAAAGAAGAGGATCGGTGATGACAGAGGCAGGCTGGGGGCCCACCACATGAGGCCGCATGGTCCGGAGGAGTCAACCAGCCACCACGGCCACGCAGCAGCAGCGGAAAAGCTTGTATCATCTTTGCTGGTGCCATTCCTCAAGACCGGTTCGCCGAGAAGCAGGGCCCAACTCTAAATTGGTTGGCTTCACTGTTTGGTGCTGGGTGTCTGATGTGGCGATGATGCAAGTGGTGGTGGACCATGGGCATGAATAGTGGAGAAGAGCTCTTTTTTTTTTGGGTTTCCCAACGTTTGTGGTGGGGATTGGCAGTGAGTAATATGTAGCAAGCGCGATCGAAGGGGCCATCTGATCGGAGGAAGAAAAGAGGAAGCATGTGGAAAGGGATTGAAGCAGAGGGAGATGGAAAAAGGAAGAGGAGAAGGTGTCCAAGGTGAAGGTGGCCGGCAAGGTGATTGTTGTCGGTGTGTTGCACGCAGACTTACCCAGAGCTTGTCGGACTCTTCAAAGCCCGTCATTTTGGCTAACGTAGGCGTGTATCGCTGATGCTGTTTGTCGTTTTTTCTCGTAGATACAACTTGATAGTCTGATGTAAAAAGTGGTGATGGATGTCGTTTGTCGACGCCAACAAGGATGCGCAGATTCGGGAGTCTGCAATGTTTGGTAGGCAAGAAACTAGATGGAGGAAACGAAACAAGTAGAGATGCAAGCGAAATGGAGGGATGGGCGAATAATATAGAGTCTGGCGGCAGCCTCATTTGGCTCAGCACCACCCCTCCCTCCAACTAGTTACTAAAAGCTACCAGCTTGTGAACATTTAGAGTGTGAGGTGTATCTGGCCGATGCGGCGATGCCCAGGGACGAGGGCCCCCGCTTTCGCTCATGCTCATCACCCAGGCCGCGCACTACATTACTCTCTGGCTCTGGTTTTCCTTGCTTGCCAAGGCCTATGGCAATAATACTTTATCTTATTCTGCTTTTGCTACACTCTTTTCGGTCCTTCGCCGCCGCCACGAGTCGGCGGAGCCAGAGGTAGAGGCGCAAGTTGACGATGGTGGAGATGGCCTACAAATGAGTGACTGCAAAAACCCGCCAAAGCCACGCAAGCCGCTATAACTTGAATAATCAGCGTTAAAATAAGTGCCCGAGACGATTTGTAATGTGCAGTATTAGGAATCTTGACCTAAGACACTGCCTCGGCACTACGTAGACGGATATTGTGCATGTCTTTGCAGTCTCAATAACAGCCAAGACATTTAACAACTATCGAGTTGACAGCACAAGACAGAGTTCACGGGGTATTTAGAAAGAAGTCGAATAAATATGCTTGCGCGTCCTGAATCCAACCACACCTTGGATGACATGCTTGCAGGGCTATGCATGAGTCGGGCAGCTTTGCCTGGGTCTGGACCCTGCGTCTGCCCACATTGCCAACATGAGCGACGGAGCTAACTACCTACATGTAGCATCTCGCTTCTGCTGGGTTCAACTCGGCCTGCTTCTTCCGGCCTTGTGCGGCTTTGAGCTGCATCAGGTGATGGACTTTCCCCGGGGTTTGCCAGCACCATGCAATTGAAAACAAACCGAAAAATAAAAATAGAAATAGAAATAAAGGATTGCTGATGAAGAGCCAAGTCGGGCAACAGTATGAACCGGAAGAAGCCCAATCCTTCCAAATCTCCCTTGCGACTCACTTTTTGGGAGCTGACGAATCGGCCAAGGCTTGTGCACTGCCCACCGCCCCGGCAACTCCCACCTCCAGACGTAAGTAGCACAGACAGTGCAAACTCGTCGTGCAACTGCTTATTAAAATGCACCCTTCCTTCGGTTACCCCCGCGAATTTCCCCTTGCTCACAAGGGAAGGGGAGCATGCACCCCGCACCCCCCGTTGAGTGCCGCGCAAGCCCGCGAAACTCTAATACTTGGCTGGCCACGGAACTTGGTCGACATTGAGTATTTTATAAAGATACAATTCACTGGAAAAACAAAAAGATGCTGGGAATGCTGGAATTGTGGCACGAGGCAGTGCCCCAATTCAATGGGCTTCTCCGCTTCTCTCCTCTTGTCCTTGCTACACACTACTAACACTCTATTCTCCGGCTGCGGCGCAAGCTTCGCAAACAAACTTGGCCGCAACAAGAGTCATGACCGTTTTCTCAGCCTCGCCGTGCTGATCCCGACTCTGCCACTACCAACTTGTCCACACCACCAGAGCCTCGGGTCCGCTTGAATCTTATTTTCTTTCTATTTTTACTTCATTTTTCACAGATCGACGCAGCCTTGTTCACGGCTGAGATGAAGCGCATGTACCGACAATAGATTACATGTACTCTGTTTTCGTAACTACATTGGTGTTGCAATTCGAATGTGCTCTGTATCACGGGTTCAAGGTGAATCAACACCCGCTTCGGTCAACTTTTGTCACAATATATGGGTCTAGCGCCGGTGCAAACGTCAAAAGGCTCTCCCCGTTTCGAAATGATGTCACCTCCTCTTCTCGACGCGTGCTAAAAAGAGCCAGATAACGGCGCTCGTACCTCAACACCCGATCGCAGCCCTGGACCAGCAATTAGTACTTTTATTTCCCGGCCCCGGAAGCGACGGGTGAGCCGCTGGTGCTACGCCCTCACCCCGGGTGTGACGCTGGCTGCCGACGGTGAGCAAATCACTACCGTTGCCGGGTCAGATAACGGGAACTTGAACTGGGCGAGCGCTTAAAAAAGATTCGCTGTCTTTTGAACCGGAGGGAGCGGAAACCACAGCGGGCAAAGGAAAATTGAACATGGCCCTCGTCAATTACTCGTCATCGTCGGACGGCGAGGATCAAGATTGCGCCACCACGCACGACGAGCCAGCGAGCAAGCGGCAGAAAAGGACAGGCCCATCCGAAGCTTCCGCCTGTGACGGGGCCGGCGCGCCGCAACAGCCGTCGATGCCCCCGCTGCCGTCCGAATTTCACGACTTGTACGCGGCGACGGTGCGCCAGAGCACCGTCGATGACCCGGCGCTGCACCAGGGACGGAAGCGACAGGTGCCGCACATTGTCGGCCAGTGGCCGAGTCATGTCTACATTGAATGTACGAATTTCAAGGCGCATTGTTTTATTCTACGGCCGATACAACGGCTAACAAAGTCTACAGGGCGTCCCAGCTATGAACAGCATGCGGTTCTCACGCGGCTTCTCGCCAAAGTAGAGGACACTCTGGACGGCGAGATTGAGCTGCATCAGTTCATGACGAGCGATCTCGGCGCACCGCTGCCTCTTCACGTGAGCCTCTCGCGGCCGCTGTCCCTATCCACGACGGAAAAGGATGATTTTCTGCAGCGCGTCTCGGAATCGCTCGGGTCCGGTGCCGTGCCGCCCTTTATCATGCAGCCACGCAGCCTGGCGTGGTTCACCTCACCCGATTCGAACCGTAGCTTTCTCGTGCTTGGCGTGGCCGCGACAGGAGGCGATGGCGACGACGAGGGCGATAATGCGCCGTTAATGAAGCTGCTGCGCAAGAGCAACGCGGCCGCGGCGCGATTCGGCCAGTCGCTACTGTATCAGCATGCGCGCGACGACGACGACGACGACGACGACGACGACGAGGCGCGGACGGCGTTTCACGTATCCATTGCATGGACGTTTGCGCGGCCGGGGCAGGACATTTCCCAGGCCACGCTGGATCTATTCCAGCGGCTGCCGCTTGACGAGGTCATGGCGTGGCGAATTGCGGTGGACAACGTCAAAGTCAAGATTGGCAATGTCGTGACGAGCGTGGCGCTGTCCCGGGGAGGCGCGCCGGGCCGCGACAGGACCCGGTTTCTGTTTGACGAGACCTGAGGCGGCCTTGGAGTCGGAGGTGAAAAAGCCCTCTTTCTTGCACCTGCGCCTCACGGGACTCGACAAGAAACTCGGGGGGGGGCGAAAATGTGGAAACCGTTTGTCCTCTGCAGTGAGGAGATGTGCATGAGAGCATGGGATGCATGGGTAGGAGAGAATGATGAGGGGATTCGAGGCTCGATGGAGCCTTATCGGAGCACGCATGAAACCTGTCGAGCGGGCTCAAGTCGAGTCGGTGAAGGCAGAGACAGATTATACAGGGATGACGAGCATGCATCCCCGGGAGAGGTCGCTTTGCTTTGGTGAGTGGTGGCCAACGGCGCATTGGTGGGCGGCATTGCGAGGAAATGGAGCGTGTCATAGTGGTGACGCTGTGCATGGCATGATTTTCGTAGATGATGAGTTTCGATTCATGAAACGGCAGAGTAGACGAGGGCGTGTTGCGACAAGAGCGAGAGAGCAAGAGCAAGACCCCGGCCACGGGTGTCATGGGTGCAGCGGGGTGACTTGACGGCTGATGTAGTGGTGCATAGTCCATCAATGGAGCATGACGATGCTGCCAACGTTGTGATCATAGTCTGTGTTGTGATGAAATTGTGACGAGTTGGGAGTGAATTGGATAATTGCAAGCGTTTTTCGCGTGCTGGCAACACAATGATCAAACACAGACTCGGTGAGTCGAGTCAGCGGTTGAGTTGAGGCGCGTCTGTTGGTGGAGTCTGTTTACAGTGTTTACAGTGTTTACAGTGTTTACAGTCGAGGGATACCGGCGGCGCGGCTTTTTACCAGTTGGCAGTAAACCAGCGGGGTTGGTCGCCTTGCCACCTGCTGTCCATGTTTACCTACCTACTCGATATCACACGGGCGATATAGGCTGTGCAACTCATTGTGTGATTTGTACAAATTTCACTAGGTCATTAGAGGTCAATCTACCGGCCACCTTGTTTATTGTTCCCCTTGGCTTGCCATGCTTGTGATACTGTGCGACTGTGCTTGGCTTCCTTCTCCAAAGGCAGCATTTCTGCCGTGCCCGCCCTCTTCCCGCCTCCACATCTCTCTCTGTCTGCGCGCCTGGGCTCTTGCAAAAGCGACTGACCTGCTTGTTTTGAACGTTTCGTCACCTGCTCTGCAATTTCTCTTTAAATCGGATATAAGCTTTGCCCAATACCTTTTATTAGCGCGCATTTCTTTCTTCTTCCTCTTCTTCATCCTCTTGGAGTAAGATTCCTATTTTTCTTCCCCTGGTCTTCTCGCTTGTCACTTTAGCTACCCCCATTTAATCCACGCCCTTTTACCGCCCGCCACCAAAACCCGCTGCCCGCTTGCTACCTAGTTTACCACCACCACCACCTGTTCTGCCTGCCTCTGCGCGCGCCACCGACCACCGCAAAAGTCCTCCTTCTACTCCTGCAGTGGGACGGGACCTGGGTAGACCATAAACACGCATCTCCAAGGCCTTGCGTCCGTCATCGGTGCCGATTGTCGAATTTTCCACGAGCTTGGCTTCTACTTTCGTTTTCTCTCTCTTCTTTCTCTTGACCGTTTCAATTCCGACATCCACAGCAGTCCGTTTTTACTTGTTGCCAGTCAATTTACGCGAAAAAGGGCTTTCCAATTCGCTACCACACGACCTACGCCAGAGGAAAAAAAAGATAGGAAAAAAATATGGACATTGACATGAGCCGCCGGAACAAGACGCCTCGTCCTCTCTCAGACAAGGAACGATCGCGTCTCGAAGAATACATTGACTCTATCCACTACTCCAACAGGTATTACGCCCTGGGCCCAACCCACGCAACACGGCCGCACCGGCAACGGCGCAATGCTAACCCCAAGCTCTCCCAGATACAACGACAGCGAGTACGAATACCGTCACGTGCAGCTGCCCAAAGCCATGCTCAAGGCCATCCCGGAAGACTATCAAGATGCTCAAAAAGGGACATTGAAGCTGCTATGGGAAGAGGAGTGGCGCGCGCTAGGTATCACACAGGTTTGTCTCTCCCCCTCCTCGTTGGCGGGGTTCGCGTCAAGCTTGTTGGCTGACCAGAACAACAGAGCTTGGGATGGGAACACTACGAGGTCCACGAGCCCGAACCGCACATTCTCCTGTTCAAGTAAGCAATGTCCTCGGTGCCATTTTCTACAAGGCCATTTGTGATGGCTAACAAGCTCTCGCCCAGGCGCCCAATCAACTACCAGCCCCCGCAGTGAGCCCGGCCGCCGCATCGACTCGTGTACGAATAGTCTCGAACCTCTTGCTCGGCTAGCTTGGTGGAAAGCAAAGACAAGGTCCAGTTCGGGCCGAGTCTCCCTCACTCGCTTTTGTCTCTCTTCTGATTTGTCTTTGCCATTTACGCCCCCGTCACGATGTTATGGACTTGCATGCTGTGATGATTTTTCTTTGGTCCTCGGGAGGCGCGCATCCGTCGCTGGCAAGGGAGCCGCCGGCAGGACGTGCCATTGCATAGCTTTGACAAACCTGGCCGGTGTTTGTCTCTGGTCCTTTTGATCTTTTTTGGTCTCTTTTGCCCTCTTGCGTGTGCGCGCGGAACAATATCGAACACGAATAAAAAAAGGAAACATATTCTTGGGTTGTTCAATCTCTGCCGTAGGCAGCTTGCATACCGTTTTGTACAAAGGATAGCAGGAAAAGGCAAATTGCTGGGGATGCTATCCCGGCCGGAGACTGCTGGGCTGCTTGCATTGGGTGTGATGGGACTTGTCTGGGTCTTTGGACAAGGACGAGTAGACGTAATCACGGACTGGAAGAAGTATGGGACGAGACGAAGACTATGTAGCCTCAAAATAGGGTGAATTGATGATGAATGAAATTGTGTTGTCATGACCGAGACATTAGCTGGCGACATGTAATGCGCACTTGAAGGCTGCTGGATGGCTGCCAATGCCCCACTGTTTGCTTGCAACAATGCATATGCTGTTTGTTACGTGGTGCGATTGCAAGAGCGAGGAGGAATACCTGCATAACTAGATGATAGATATAAGGCCGAGAATGGAATATTACTGCGCATGATATGGCAGCAGCGTCAGCTGTCCAGCTGACCCGAGTCCCGGTCCGTACCGTGGTTGAGGGTTTTGGTTTGCAGTATCGCGCCACAACACGCCACTTTCGCTGGTGGTTGGCCAGGACCCTGAAAAATTCTGAAAAGGCGCGATAGTGACACCGCATGACAAGGAATCGAGCCGAGAGAGGATACGGAAAGTATGGCATGATTTTGTAGTACTATGGCCGTCGTCTTTCGCGTCTGCCGATTCTCTGCGGGGAGAGAAAGGCAAGGAGCGGTTGGACGCCGACATTAAGGTTGATGGGTGGTAGATTAGACAGGCTAACTCAGGACTAATGACTCAAAAGCTAATGTATCAAAAATGTCATCATATCAGTCACATTTAGGCGAAAACATGAGATGCTAAATTAGCAGTGGGCCGATGCAAGAAGAGGCCATGTAAGCAGTTTTACTCAGAAGAGACAACGCCGACGAGCCGATGTGTGGCTAATAAAGCCAAGTGGCTTTTTCGCAAACGACAGGAAAATAAAGTCAAAACTCTATGAGTTAGGTCACTGACAGCATCACAGCAAACCTTGGATAGCCGGATGCAGTGGATTTCTCTTTAAATAAAAGTATATCTAGTTTAGATACTTTGTAGCGTCAACAGCCGGGCCACGTTACAGGGCAAACCTAGCTCTCATCAACGGGCCTTTCACACCTTTTTGACCTGGATCAAGTACCAAGGTCAGCCACCAGATCCGCAAAGCCCCAGTCTTTCTTTTAACGTCCCATCCCAAGTCCGCAGTCTCGAGCCAGCCAGCGTGGCATCTTGATTAAAAAAAGAGAGACAGATATCCCTTGCCCTTTTCCAACACACGACTCTTTTCCCTTTTATACGCTTACTCCTCGCAGCTTTTATCCGAATCTCTACATTACGTTACTTTGCAGTAAACCATCGTATAGCCATACTCTGTGCCCTTTACCGGTTATCGGATGTCCGCCCCGTCAAAGCCAACGGCTTATTAATTCAAGACGTCACGACAAAAGACCACGCTCCGCCTCACCACTTCCCTTTACTGCTGCCCGCTTTCCTTCAATCGGCATCACAGCTTCCAATGAAGTCTGCCGGCAAACTCTTTTTTCTCTCCGTCTTTGCCCTCTGCGCGGCGCCCGGGATTTGCACCGACGCATCCAAGGATGGCTGTCCAGTACGAGCACGCGCGCTCTTCGTCATTGCGCCAGACTTGGTTCTTGCTAATCACTCTGCCCCATTCAGATCTCTCCCAAGGCCATTGTAGATGACGCTTGCGTCTCCTACGCCACGCTTGACAAGCTCAACACCCGTGTCAAGCCCGCCGTCGACGACCTCACCCAGACGACCGACTTCTTCTCCCACTACCGCCTCAACCTATTCCACAAGTCCTGCCCCTTTTGGGACGACTCCAACGGCCTCTGCGGCAACATAGGGTGTGCCGTCGAGACGCTCGACAACGAGGACGATATCCCCGACGTCTGGAAGGTCAAGGAGCTGAGCAAGCTCCAGGGACCCCTGGCGAAACATCCCGGCCGCGCCTCCAAGAAGGAGCACCGCCCGCTGCACGGCGAGCTTGGCGACAGTGTCGGCGAGAGCTGTGTTTACGACAACGACGATGAGTGTGACGAGCGCGACTATTGCGTTCCCGAGGACGAAAGCGCCTTCTCCAAGGGCGACTATGTCAGTCTGACAAAGAACCCCGAGCGCTTCACGGGCTACGCGGGCCTCGGCTCCCACATGGTCTGGGACGCCATCTACCGCGAAAACTGCTTCCAGCGCAGCTCCTTTCCGCGCTCCGCCGACGTCGGCACCTCTCTGTGGCCAAAGGGTCCCGCAGCCATGGACTTCAAGCAGGTCATGGAGGCCGCCGGTCGCCAGGCCCAGCTCGACCAAAACCGCCTGCAAAAGCCCGAGACGCCGTTTGTCGCCAGCACGGGGCTCGAGACCGACGACGAGTGCCTTGAGAAGCGCGTATTTTACCGCGTCGTGTCGGGCATGCACGCCAGCATAAGCACCCACCTCTGCTGGGACTACCTCAACAAGACGACGGGCCTCTGGGGCCCCAACTTTGACTGCTACATGGAGCGCCTTCACCCGTACCCCGACCGCATCAGCAACCTCTACTTCAACTACGCCCTCGTGACGCGCGCCGTCGCCAAGCTCGGGCCGTACCTACAGAAGCCGGTGTACACGTTTTGCACCGACGACGCGCACGAGGACGCCTCGACGCGCGGCAAGGTGCTCAAGGTGACGCAGCGCGCCGCCCTGGTTCCCGAGATCTTTGACGAGAGCATCATGTTTGTCAATGGTGAGGGCCCATCCCTCAAGGAAGATTTCCGCAACCGCTTCCGCAACATCAGCCGACTGATGGACTGCGTCGGCTGCGACAAGTGCCGCCTCTGGGGCAAAGTCCAGACTAACGGATACGGCACTGCGCTCAAGGTGCTCTTTGAGTTTGGCAAGGACAACGATAAAGACGTGCCCGTGCTCAAGCGCACCGAGCTCGTCGCCCTGTTCAACACGTACGGCCGTCTCACGAAGTCGCTCATGGCCATAGCCCAATTTCGGAAAATGGCCGTCGAGGCCGAGGACCAGCGAAAGGCGGCAGAGCTGCTCGCCGAGACGGCAAAGGACATTCGCGAGCCGCTGGATCATCCGCTCACGTCCAACGAGGACGAGGAGCTCTCGGACGAGTTGGTCGATTTGATCCGCAAGAAGAATCGCGGGTCGGCGGGTGAGGACTGGAAGTCGCAGGTGGACCACGAGCTGGCGCTTTTCAAGCTGGCTATGCGTGTCGTCTTTACCGGCTGGATCCGTGCCCCAGTTTACTTGTACGTTCTATCCGTGATTGTGAAGTATTTTGTTTGATGCCCGAGTTTTGCTAACAATGAGCAGTGTCAAAGTGGCCATTGCCGAGGTAATTAGATTCCTCCGGTCATGGATGGGGCTTTACAACGCAGAGAGACCTTACAACTTGCGCATGCCAAACGTGGATCGACCGGATCTGTAAAGCAAGCCCAACTTGGTGGACTGGAGCTCAATGACGGACGGCAGCGGGAAGCAATACGCTTGACTAGAGTGCCTCGCAGTCTACACAGCTTTACTATGCGCAAAGAGGGCGTGATTATAGTCGTGAGTGGCACAACAATGGAGTGGCATATCTCGACGGCCTTTTTGCCTCGACTATGTTGCGAATACACTATGCCACGCGCTCTACGACCTGATAGACTCTTGGGAACTTACTGGAGCTTGCAGCAGAGGCCTCTTCCCAGCCATCCTTGCGCACTTGCATGGACATTGAAAACTCGAGTACCCAAAGACGGAAGGGCTGTTATCATTATAGCATATTTTCTTTTCTTTTCTTGTCTGTTTATATTCCTAGGGCATTGCATCATTGGCGTTATTCGGGATTGAACGTGGGATTTTTGTAGCGGACTTTCAGACTTTGCCAGCATAGGTATTCATCAAAGCAGTACACGGCTGGAATAATAAATTTCATATACTTTAACTGATCCTTGACTTCCAAGCTCTATTTGAATGACGAGCATAATGACTCGGGCGGACTAAATGCAGAGGTGCACGCGATGGCTTGAGCTTATTTCCTACCGACGACGTAATCAGGCCCACCATCCGCAGCTCTCCCGCAGCTCTCAGCCCATCTTCCTCTTCCCCAGACTGCCTCGCGACAACAAGCCCACCTCATCGACCTTTTCCAACAGCCCCTTTCTGCCTGCGAAACCGTACTCTCTCAACATAACGGCGCCACGTATACCCAATGGCCGCATACGGGCTATGAATCACCGATCCCCGCCCCGGCACGCTCGCCGCGCACAACGACAACCAGCACCACTATCCGCGTCGCCGTCGCCATCATGTCCTTGTCGTCCATGACGTCGCTGCCCGCGCCGCCGCCTCGTCGCCCGCGGCTGCTTGCCCAGAACCGCAAGCTGCGGCACCTCTGCGGGCTATCCCTGCGCAACCTGTCCTTTGCGCCGCCGACTGCGCGCATCCTGCGCTCCGCCGACGACGGTGACCTCCCCCACGGCAGCAACAAGAAGAAGCCGACGACGACCACCACCACCACGACGAATACCACCCAGAAGCTGCCCGTTCTGCAGGAGACGAGCAGTGATGTCGCGCCCGGCGCGGCGCTGCATCCGTCACGGTCTTCGGATCATCTGGCCGGAAAGGAGGCCGCGAGGCGCCTGAGCGCAAGCGGCGGCGGTGGTCACCGCATAGGAGCGCCGCTGGTGCAGCGACGCGCGAGTCTTAGCAATGCGCCGTCGAGCCCGGCGAGCCGCCAGAAGAAGCTCGAGGAGCTGGCGGACGAGGCGGTCGGCGACGTCTTCTTCTCCCTGCACGATCCGGCGAGCCCGGAGGAACCTATATATATAAGCGAAACAGGAGAGCGATCAGCGGTATGGCTTTTCTCCAAGTTCCCACGAAGGCGGCTTCTGTCCCCCCAGACTTTTGGCTAACGCGGCCTTTTTTTTTTCTCTCTTTCGGTAGAACTTTGACTTTCGATACTTTGATCTATCAACATCACATCCCTCCATTTCCCGCTCCTGCAGAGTGCTGGTTCGAATATGGACGCGCCGTCCTAAGCAGAGCGCCTGGACTTTTCTCCTCGAGGAGCTCATTGACCTCCGCAAGCTGCACTTTATATCCACGACCCTCAACCGCGAGTATCGGCCTAACGCGCTGATTTTCCACCTCGAGGACGGCGTGTACTCGCTCGACTTTCCCGACTGCGTCTCCGAGCCCCGCCAGCAGGCCCAGCCCACCACCACGTCGTCGTACAATGCGCTCATGAAGCTGGCAAACCTTGAAAGCTCCCTACGCGACGCCGAGGAGACGCGGCGCGCGGTGGTGCAGCAGATCAACGACGTCGTCGTCACCACCGCCGCGGGGGGATCCGCTGACGGCGCGGCCGACGCGGCGGAGGAGAGCGTGGTGCTTGCGGGCAAGTATCTGGCCACGCAGCGCCGTCTCAACAGCCAGGCCGAGCGGCGCCGCGACGAGCTGCGCACGTCGCTGCGCGTGCGGAGAGACGCCATCGCCGCGGGCAAGGCCCTGCAGCGCAGCCGTGCCGATGACATGGCCAGCGGCAAGGAGAAGATGGTCGCGTCGCGACGTCTGCTCGACGACACGGCGCAGCAAATTCGCGGCCAGCGCCGCCGCATCTGCGCCGACCTCGCCGCCGTGTTTCCCATTGCGCCGATACCGCACGCGCCGCCGCTGTCCTTTACTATATGCGGCATCCCGCTGCCCAACTCGGTCTACGACGCTGGCGTCGCGCGTAGTGTCGGCGAGGACGCGCTCTCCGCCGCGCTCGGCCTCGTCGCGCTGCTCGCGTGCCATCTCCAGTTCTACCTCGGCTACCCGCTGCCCTACCCCCTCGTCACGCCGCTCGTAGGCTCCCGGACCTACATCCGCGACGAAATCTCCCATCTCGACGCGTCGTCCGCTTCCACCACCGCAAACAAAGCTGGAACCGCCAGCAGCCGACGCGAATTCCCGCTCTTTCTCCCCCGCGGCGGCTCCACCACCAGCCAATGGCGCTTCGAGTACGCCTGGTTTCTGCTCAACAAGGACCTCGAGACGCTGTGCGCCGCGCAGGGCCTGCGCGTTGTCGACGTCCGCCACACCCTACCCAACCTCAAGTACCTGCTGTATGTCGGGAGCGCGGGCTCCGACGAGGTGCCCGCGCGCAAGAAGGGCGGCGTCCGCGGGCTTTGGGCAGGACGCCTCGCGGGCCGCGTGCCCGAGCTGCGCGGCGGCGGCGGCGACGGCAGCAGCACGGGGGGAAGTCGGCCGGGAAGTGCCGACAGCGAGGCCCACGCGCAGCGCGGCGAGGTTTTGGTGTTGCGGGAGCCGATGTTGGCGGACGAACAGCAACATCAAGAGCAACAACAACAGCCGCTGGCGGTGGGATGGGGCGTGGCGGGCGGGGGAGGCATGAATTCCGACTTTGCGCTGCCGTTTGAAAACCACGAGACAAAGTTTACGCTGCGCACAAAGGGCCTACGAGAAAACGTGGCCGGTTGAGGCTAATACTATAATACACCCAGTGAACGCAGGCAGCATCTAAAAAAAAGCATCAGCAGACTACAATGTACATAGACTACAGCGATACAGCGAGGAGGGCTACTTTTAAAAAGGCAAAGCGGTCGTGTAAAAAGAGCAAGGTTTTTTTCCCATCTTCCAACTAGGTTTCTAGCAGAGACATGTAATACGTTAATCCTACAATGACTTTCTTTCCAAGTCTAAATAATACATGACGAACAAGGCAAAAAGCAAAAAGCAAAAAAAAAAAGAATTTTCTTAAAGGACAATAGAAAACGCCAATGTACACCTGCTTCGTGTATGAAAAAGAAATATAATAAAAAACAGGGCCAAGAAATAAAAAAAGCACGCTTCACCGATTGACAAACTTGACGCTCTTGCGCCGCTCGCGCTCACCCGTCCCCGGCACCCGGCCCGGGCTCGAGCTCAGAATGCCTCCCGAGCTGGGCGAGCCGCTCTTGTTGAGCGCCTCGCGCGCCATACCGACGGCCTTACTCTGCGGTACGTCATAGCTGTCGCTGCGCACCGTGCGATCGCGCCCGCCAGGGCTGGAGCGCCGACTACCCGCCGCGCCGCCGCCGCGCAGCTCGTCCCGGACGGCGCGGGTGCTATCCAGCGCCGCGCGGCCGAGCTCGTCGGCGCGCGCCGTCACCACCTCCCCGCGGTACCTGCCCGGCAGGCAGGCATGGCCGCAGCCGTCGAGCGGGCAGCAGCCACCGCTGTACTTGGTCGGCTGCGAGTTGGGGTCGTCGGCCTCCATGGCGCCGTGCCATATCTGCAGGCAGGACGCGTGGCCACCGTGCGCGCAGCCGGGGCAGAACCACCACCAGTTGGAAGCCCACTGGCTCGATCCTGCGTCCGATGTATCGACATCGTCGCCGGGGACATGGGCGGGGAGTTCTGCGTCGCGGTGGTTGCAGACGGCGCACGGGGCCATGACGGCGCGACAGCGTTCGCAGGTCCAGACGGCGTCGCGGCCTCCGCTCGGATCAACTTCGCGTGGCTTTCGGCATGCGGAGCAAAACAGCCCAGTCTTGACGCCTTGCTGCGCAGGGCCAAAGATGGCGGTGTAATTCTCGCCCCATTCAGGCATGCCTTCAGGCCAGCCTCGGATGCACATCTTGCGCAAAAAAGACGCCTCCACGAATAAACCCATGCGCATCAGCCGCTGGTGATGTTGTCGCAAGATGCCCCGCGCCAGGTGCGTATCGATGATGTCGTCCGGCAGTAGCGGCCGCAGAAGAAGCACCATGGCAGCCGCATTGACTGCTGAGGAGCGGCATTCGAAATCAAAGGCCCTCTTGAGCAAAAGATATGGGTCAAGAGCAGCTGGTACTGTATTGTCTCCCTTCATGTTGAGGAAGTCAGGGTCATCAGGCCATGGTAAATAATCGGCTTCGATGACATAAGGACTGGGGTCGTTGTAATATTTGGCAACCGGACTGCTCGTACCGTCAGCACTGTTGGGCACAGCCTCGTCAGGGGCCGTAGACTGCTGGAAAGAAGCGTTTTGATCCGAGTCAGACTGGGAAGCGAAAGAGAGTTGAGATGGATACGCATCGTCTGTAGAGGCAGTTGTTTGCGATATCATGAAGACGTCCTCAGGTGAGTCGGTAACCTTTGACTTGCGCCTTTGCGTATCGCCATGGATCCTTGGCTCAAACTCCGTGTCAGCGCTGCCATTGGAAACCTTTGATGTGTAGTTGGCGCTGTGCTCGCCGATGCCTGCAATACCCACAGACGAGCCCTGTAGAGACGGTTTTCTTGATCCATTTGAGACGGAAGACATCTCACCCATGCTATCCTCTGAGTCATGACGCGCGGGCTTGATTCGCGAAATGCGTCGGTCAGCCGCATCCTTTGTCTTTGGTTCCGGAACGTCAATAGCTTTCGAAAGAGCGTCGGTATCGTAAAAGTCATAGCCTTCAGTTATTGATACTTCGGAAGGCTCACTTTCTCGGTTGTTATCCGATATAGCTTGGGAGCTACCTTGTGAATATGCCGCATCCTTGTAAGCATGTACGGCAGGGCCAAGGTCGAAACTCTCTGGCTCAATGATGGGTGTTAGTTTCTTTCCATGTTGGTAATGTCCTGTTTCCCATTCCTTGTTGTGCGTTGCATCAGCCGGCCGCACAATGGGTGTCGGCACATTAGATGTACTCTCAATCTCCTCTGATAGAAGCGACCGCACAGCATGGAGCTTACTATCTATGCTGCCGGTATGGGCTGACGGTCTGCGTGGTGTCTCTTCGCCATTGTAGCTAGCACCATAGATTTCGGGCGGCTTTAGAGAGCTTGCTGTTTTACCCCCATCCACTGATATCTTTTGAAACCGGGACGACCTTGCCTCTGAATGATATTTTGCTCTCTTTTTGAGCAGAAGATCCATGGCAAAGGCGATAACGCGCCAGGACTGAGATAGTCTGTACAAGCGTACGTTTTCAGAGATTTTCGAGAACTGCTCCAAGGCTACACCTACTCGTTCAGCTAGAGTGGCCTTGCTGTCCGCATTTGGTAGAACGCGCTCAAGTATCTCGAGATAGCTTGCAGTCAGATACTGATAAACTGGAACTTTGGTTGATGCTGGCAACCTGCCCGAAGACATAACTTGTGGTGACTTGAACATGCCAGTAACGCCAATAGACAGATCAAGGCCCAGTAGCTTTTTGCCTTCATCGGAAAAGTTGTTACTGGATGGAGGTGTCGTACTCAGAGGCTGCCCTGACCGGCCGCTCGGCCGCTGTCGATGGGCCAATTTGCGCCGGGGCCCGATAAATGTCCCCAAGACGTCTTCTTCAGAATCGCTTTTGCTTCCGCTGAGCAAATAGGCGTTGGGACTAGAGCTATATGTCGGGCGAGACGGTGTTTCGCTGTGGTGCATGATCGGGCGTAGACGGCTCTGCTGTGCACGCTCATCCAAGAACATGACAACGTCGCCCTGCGGTGAAAAGGCCGTTGCCGATGTAGACAGTCTGTCGATGCACTTTGGCGCATATGCCACATCACACTGGTTGAATAGACCATCTTGAGCGACAGTCCAGAGCATGTCCTGGTCTCTCCAAAGCATAGCAGATGGCGAGGAATCAAAGCGTTCGATTTCTTTGTATGGCATTGTCGGACGGGCCAGGTCCCAAATGTGGACGACGGAAGCACCATAGCGTCTGTTGCTGCTTTCATCATAGCTCACTGCGACTTGAGCAACACGTCTGGTTTGTGCCGTGGCAGACCAGAGACCCGGTCGCCAAGAAAGACACGATACTGGCGCTGGAGTCGTGATGGTCCATTTTGGTTTTTGCCGCTTATCGCCGGACGCGCCCAAGTCCCAAACATGAAGTTTCGAGTCCCATCCTGCACTTATGAGGTGGATTCCGTCAGGATGCCATGCCATCGTCAAGCATGATTTTTCATGAGCATTGATCCTCAGTACCGGTCGTGACGGTTGGCGGACATCCCACTTCAGAACGACACCGCCCTCTGTGCAGCAGGCCATCTCATGTCCGACCCGGGGCGACCACATTACTTTCCTAATTGACTCATTGTTTTTCAAGGGCGAGAACCGTTGTCGAAATGTAAGTATACCCGATCGTGTAGCAGCTGGCGCAGAGACATCAAAGACGCGTGCTATACCATCTTGACTGCCTGCCAGCAGCCAACTCTTCAAGTGCGGATTGACGTCCAATGTGTTTATTTGACGACTGTCCTCCTGCATTTGTATATATTCGAGAGGGTCAGAACCACCGGCATCGATTCGAGATAGGTCGTAGCCAAATATGCGCCCGGTGGCGCATGCCGTAAAGACTGTGCCATTCTCGTGCCATTTGACGTCGCGAATGTTGAGCTGATCAGCCACGACGTTTGCTCTGTTTCCAGAGAGTTTCTGCGATGTAATTGACGCCCTAATATCAACCCCGTCGCTAAAACTGAAGCCGGGGCTTCCCACGTTGTCGAGTACCAATGTTTTGAGTATGTGCGGTCCACCTAGCACCGCGGCGCGCCCGTCCGAGGAAACATCCAGGCAGGATACTGGCGCGGCCACTGGATGCACAGCATTTTGCGATTTGACCGGCCGATAGTTCGTGGGGGTCGCGGTAGCAGAGCTGGCGACGGTCGCATCGCCAACGGAAGCATCATGCGCAGGCTTTCCCAGCAACTTGCGCATGATCCGGGACTCGCGGTTATACATTGCTATAGCGGCCGCAAAGCGCTTGGCACGCCATCAATGGCTATTCAGTGGTGGCAATCGTCCATTCCGCGTGATGTAGGGCTTGAATATGATGTCGCGCTGTGTGGTTGTAATGAGTGACGCCAGACCCTGGAAAGTTGAGGTGGGGATCTTGTAGGCAAGCTCGTGTGGAGCTGAAATAGGAAGCCCGGCATTGGCCGAACTCGCGCGTCGCACCACGTCGACCCCTCGAGCTCTTTTACCAGTTCGTCCGAGTTTCTTTGCATAAAATCTGCTATTACGAAACATGGTCACTTAATAGAGATGCGTTTTCTGCATAATCCTGTTTCCTTCATATCCCCTGCGAAGCCATTATACCTAGAATTCAATAACTTGGCCAGAATCACTGCTCTGAACGCTATTTCACATTAGGTCTATACCATATCCAACTCATCATGGTAAATAGCCATGTGATTCGTGTCCAAAGTTACGAAGCAATCATGTTTGTGTCTAGTGAAGAATACCGCGTCGTGTCGCAGTCGTATACAAAGACGTATGTACCTTGTCGGAAATCACGATGATGCAGCGTGGCCTATTCAGGAGCCGGGGCGATTCCGTGTATCTTCGATGTCTATTCGCCGTCAGTATCAGCACCGCAATATGTCTTTATCAAGAGGCGTACCTATTGAATCGCGGTATGCGCGCCGATATGCTTAATGGTACTTTGGCTCGAAGTGCCAGCATATCGGCATTTATAATTATGTTTGGACAGTGAAGTTTATGACAGCTTCATTCCACGACATCCACGTCGCCATCTGCGTCCTTGCGCTCGGGGCTCCTGCTTCGGCTGCGGCTGCGACTGCGGCCTGATCGGCGGCCAGCACCTCTTCCTCCGCGACCTCCCTTGCCAGGTGGTGGTCGCACAAAAGCAAAGTCTACCTGTATCGTCTGGTCGAGCATCTTGGTACCGTTTGCGCCGTCGATGGCAGCTCTCGCCTCCTCCAGAGTCGCAAACTCGATCAGAGCGTAGCCCTGCCACTGGTTAGCATGCTGTGCCGTCGGGCTGACGGGTTCTGCGGGCCATAGTGACTTAGGCAACTTGCCTTGACATAACCACTTCGACGATCCAAGTTCAAGTGCAGGTTCTTCACCTCGCCGAATTCGCCAAATGTGTCCTGAATTGTTTCCTCGTCTGCTTCCTCGTGGACGTTGGTCACGATGATAATCCAGCCCTCGATTGATCGCACCGCAGTCGCCTTTCCGTGTGTTTGCATGAGTGACTCATCCTGTAGAGGAGCTGAGGCAACTGTATCGACTTCCATCTCTGTGCTGGCCATTTTTTTTGTCCGAAGGCTGGTGGAAGTTGTGAATGATTGTATGGCTTGCGAAGTTCTCGCAGCTAAGCTCTGATTCTGCATCGCGAATTCGTCACGTGATCCCAGACTTTCGCGATTCCGTGACTATTCGGGCAGCCATTTGTTTCAAAAGGGTTGTCTACGAGGATTGTCTACCGAATTACGAGATAATCGGCTGTGCTCCTGTGGCATATGCAAACAAGGGGCAGGCGTGCCGCAACAACGCAAGCATGTGGCTGTAACGCTACGTATGCGGCTTCACCTGTTCTAGAGGTGCATTCGTTGCCAACTTATCACACCATCTAGGTCCCTCACTGGAGCTCAATGGCGCTGTCGTATGGCTCAAGCCGTGAATGTCGCTCATATTCGATTCGAAAGCGAATTTAGATCCACCTCCGTGGCATCATCACATCAGTCTCGTCACTAAATGGAGCAGTCGATCCGAGTGTTGCAGATGTAATTTTGTTGTATTGACAAAAGGACACCGGACGCCGAGTAGAGTCGTCGCGCCTCGTTGCATCTCTAGTGATTATGCAGAGTGCTCAGCCAAGCGATCGACCCGACAAAATCCATCGTCTTCTCTGCTATCGTAGCATCTATTCCGAAGACGGTTCCGCCATGCCAAACTTCATTTTCTCAACTTCCCATCGATTCGTGATAAATTTAAGAGCCGGGGTTGGGGTTCATCTGGTTCCGTGTCAGTATACGCTTGCCCGGTCGATGCATTCGAAACTCGAGTCGTGCTAACCTTGCGCTTGCCGTTGGTCAGGGTGACGTTGACGAAGCGGCGGGTGTACTTGAGGCGCTTGAGGGCACGGCCCTTGGGGGTCTTGGCCTTCTCCTGAGGTTCAACCTGTGATGCGATTCTGATTAGTTCTCGGCCGTAGTGATTCGATCGGAGCGGTGTATCGTACTTTGGGGGTCTGAGACTTGACCTTGCCTAGCAATTAGTTAGAAAATGCGCGAAATTGGTGTGACAAGGGTTTCCGTAACGTACCGGCACGGGCGAGCGATCCGTGAACTTTACCCATGGTGACTGATTGATTTGGCGATAATGGTGGATGGTGATGTTGGGCTCCGCGAGTTTTTCTGGATTTTGGTAAATGGTTGTGGGCGAGAGGCGAAACTCACGTGAGTCAGAGTACCGCCACTCCCAATCTGCCCTGTCGGAAAAACTGGACTCCGTGATTGAACCGCTTAGTCATCGAAAACCTTGTTGCTCGAGATCCACTCACTGAAGTCGCTCGCCATCACCAACTTCAGATATGACCACTTTAAAAAACTCGTCAAGTTTTATACTATGTATCTAAGGGTATATGGACCCTGATCATCTAATTGCGACTTCAAAGTACATCAGAGATCTGCCTCACATCTAATGAGCGAATGTGTATCGTGGAAAAGGTAAAGCTTCGCTGGCGCTTCAAAAAATGGACGAAATAATACTCGAAATTTTGCTAGAGACGCGGCTCGCAGTCGTCGTCTTAGAAGCGGCAGTAGAAATACTTCGGCTCGTCTCTCCAGACCTCCTGCACGACTGCATTTCTGCAACAAACTTGGGCCACGTGTTTGTCAGTACCAGGTACTTGATGTGGTCTTGAACTGTGTCGAAGACGGCCTCATCAAACGCGACCGGGATATCCCCAGTATACTGTGCGCAAAATGTGGTGGCATCTGTCTCGAAGTCACTGCGACTACGGGGCATAGGACCATCAAAGTCGAAAGGGATCGCCGGGTTGACTCGAGCAGCGCCACGTAACATGCTAGCAGGCTTCTCAAAGATGCTCTCCAGCCTCTTCAGATCTGCCGACGGCAAGTTCAGAGGAAACTCGGCGTCCAGTGGGCTGATGAAGTTGGCGTAGATCTTGAGAGCGCCATTGTAGACTTTGAGACACTGGTCAGCGGTTGGCCTCTTGCTCGGCCATGAGGTCTTCCAATGAGCAGCGCGGGTGAGGAAAGCAATGTTCTCTCCCGAGAAGTCGTTCAGTGCAGAGAATTCCAGAAGGGGGGCGGGGTTCTCGGTCAAAACATGCTCCAGTGCCTTCATCGTGATGACACGGTCGCCCATCTCACTGTCGGTAAAGTCCATATGCTTGCCCTTCTCGGCCATGCTAAGGGCGGATAAATTCCACTCGTCACTTTTTGACGATGTCAGCGCCGAGTCTTGTGTTTGTGTCTCCCATTTGGCGTTGATATCGGCTGCCCATTTGTTCAGCATCCAGAGGCGGACAACTTGCACAGCAGGAACAAAGACAGTGAAGATTTCAAACATAATTATGGACAGATGAATCCACTGGCTTTGCGAGAAGAACATGTTGACTTTTTCGAAAGCCGGAACATATGATGCAACAAGAAACATGGGGGTGGCATGAAGACTAGCATGTGTCAGCATCGGATGTTCACAAAGTGCTGCGTTGATCCTCACCTGGACAGACAGCAGCCGATTGTTTGGGCGCGCCAACCCAGGGTGTCGCGAATACCCCAAGCTCTGTATATGAGGACAGGCGCAACCTGCCAGGTGTCAGCATTGCGGCAATATTCTTCAAATGGGCTTCACTTACAAGCCAAGTCCAGATGAACTGCCAAACTAGTGACGGCCACCACTCCCAGCCACGTCCAAGCTCAGCCAACTGCGCGGGCAGCGTGGTGCTCTTCATTTCGGTGCCAGGCAGACCGTAGGTGGGATGGTATTTCTTCACGGCAAACCAGCAGGCGACCGTGAGGAGTACCTACATTGTTATTAGTAAGGCACAATATCACAATCATGTTCATGGATGTGCAGTACCTGGATCGCCATGCCAATCTGATAGATGACATGATGCGCTTCGTGTATCCCATGTTTCTGAAGCGGCATAGCCACGAAGTGTTGGCGCCGTCGCATCCTCGACTCTTCATCCTCAGGGCCTGGTGCGTAAATTGTTTTTGACGTTTGGCGACATGCAGGAATCGCAGGTTTGAAGCGTGGAAAAGCGCAATACCCAGAGGGAAGTAGATGCCCATGAAGAAGAACTGAATATCATAGGCCAACACCAGCGGCATAGTGTGTGCGATGGGGTAGGTGATTTGCGCTAGAATCCAGTATGAGTGGAGCAGGACAATAGCACCAAATGAGAGCGGGAGGCCACGGATTCTGAGAATGGGACTTTTGCGGTTAATCCAACAAAAGACCATGCTGCTGAAGACCAGAGTTGTCCACACTGCGGCCCATGCGATGTAGAAGATGCCCAGTCGGTCCCAAGACGGGGGAGATGTTGGCAAATTGTAAAAAGTAGTGCCAGGCGGAGTCTGGTTCATCTTGGCTGCACTGCGTTAGAAGGTCTGAACGGCAAGTAATGAAGTCGACGTGAGAATCGAAACGACGTGCTTGCGAATAAGGGGTTGTTGAAAGATATATACGTCTCGTAGTCGATCAAATCATGTTTTTCTCCTCTTTTTGTTTTTACTGGTCTTCTATCCTGCTGGCTACAAGTTCCCAGTATGCGAGTTCCATGCTGGTAAACCATGTTTAGGGCCAAAGGTCTGATCATCTTGATGGCTGAGATATTTTTTCTTTTCTGGCCCTGAGCCAGTATCTTGCCACACTTTCCAGGCAGCCCAGGCTTGCATACTATACTCACATGCCTTCTGTGCGAAGACCTGCTAATTGAAGTGCATGTCTTATGTCCAGTGTCCACTTACACGGCACACACGGTCAACTAGCAAAAGATGACAGACGAACGCCACAATACAATGAGTAATGATTGACTGCCGGAGAATTAAATGTTCAACAACTGGAGAAAGCAGTGTGAGTCGCTATCTGCAGGTAAAATTCTTCGTATTCGAGCGGGAGGAGGGGAGGGACGATACCTACTTGAGCTGCCATCAAAAGCAGGCATCGTCCAGCTTAGCAACGGCAGAAGCGCATATGAACGCCACGGCAAAGCACTAGATGGTTCCTGAATATGCACGCTGCACCGGGAAAACCGAATGTTCTCCTATTTATCACGACGTACAACAAAGCCACAAACGGGCGCAAGCAAGCTGGGTGCTAGTAGGCCTTTGTGCATGGCACCAACCGTCTAAATTGCAAAGCCGCCATCATTGACTAAGCCTCGTAAGGACTTCAATCTTTTGTTCTTCACTAGCTTCATCTGTCTCGGCTGCTTTTAGGTGCATACACACTCCTTCTTTCGGGGGTTAGTTGAGGGTTTGAAAGTAGCATGCTGTGGATATGGTAAAGTGATGAATCGGATGGAAGCTGTTCCGAAGCAACAAGCCGCTTCCTTTCGGGTCCGAGCCTCCCGGAGACAAAACATGTCTTGTTTTGGGGGCTGTTAATACTGCACCCTGCTTTTCTGCCCAGCTGTAATCCGTAGTGTAATTATTGTTGCTTACAAGGACCCAGTCGCCTGATGACTAGAAAAAGCAACGTTATCAGGGCCACAAACTACTGGATAAATTGACAAAGCACCAGACAACAGATCAATTCTGTTTGCTTGAAGTTTTTCTTTTTCCTTTTTTCTTCAGCTTATTTTCTTTCTATTGCGATCATTGTCGCCTGCCAAGTGCCTCACCCTCAGGACTCTCTGACTTACAGCGGGATAGTATGTTCACGGCTTACGGATCATGCAAGCTACACAGATCGGCTCCTTCTTCTTCTTTTTTTTTAAAAAAAAAATCCAAGACAGCGTTTCGACGCGGATATTTTGTCGCGGATTGAAACCAAGTAGATGCAGCCCTTGCACGGTAGCGTAGGCAATTGTCTCGGGCAACACTTTTGCCGTCTTCAGCACTGGCTGTAGCAGAATCGCAGCGTTCGATTTCTTCAATCTTTTGGGCCGCTTTGTCGCAACTATATGTAACAGCTACCTCTGCCCATTTTCTCATTTTTTTTTTCTCTACTTACGTTTCTGGCCATAGCACTCTCTTCTTCGGCTTCCCGCGCACCGTCAATCTGTGATTTTTGGGATGTAGGGAGGCGGTCATCGGCTTGACCAGACCAGGCAGAAGCACACATGATGCAAGAAAAAAAGGGACCACATATATGGAAAGAATTTTTCTGTCAGATGTATCCTTTTTCTTTTCTTGAATTCATTGGTGGTGTGTGAGTGTCCTTATTCGCCCCGCGAGTCACTTGGTACCACGACTGCCTCAGTCACTCGGAAAATAAGTGATTGGGCCGAACTCAGCGTATCACTTTGTGCCAAATAGTGACAGTTAATACATCAGGTTATCATGTACTGATACTTGCGGCCCACGTCCAGCCTGAGAATAAAGTACAACATGTGGCTGGCCACGGTGCTTCATGGTGTAACTACCAGCATTTCCTTTTTCGGAAAATCTACCTTCAGTTGGGACATCACTACAAGGCCTCTTTCTTGCGAAGTGAGAAGCCATAAAGCCTACTCGAGACTCCTTTATTTTTCCCCTTTCCTTCGCGGGCGCAGGAGAAACCAGTGTGCTGGCAAGTAAAGGCGTCACTGCCGCGGCGAGTGCCACGCGGCAGCCTTATCCCACCATAGGTCGGTCTTGACGACGGTGTCCTTGATGCAACCCCCATTCTCCGTGTCCAAGCAAATGTTGAGGTTTGACGTCTAGCTGCATTTCGATCTCGCTCGGAACAGAACGCTGATGACTGGCAATACAGAGCATGTACCTCTTCTGGAACTTTCTTCATTGACTCGTCGTCGGTTCATATCGTCAGTGCAAACAAGTCTCGTACGCCCAAGACATTCACAAATGACCTGGGAATGAGCGAACGCGGGAGGTGAATAAAGTGGAATTATTCATAGTCAACGATCGTGGCAGTGCATCTGACAAACACGCCCGTGGCATTGCTTGTTAGTGCCCTGTTCGTGTAAGCTGTGAGTGACACAGGTAGTAGCTGCATTTGAGACGAACGCCACATTCTACTTTTGTACGCCGAAAGCTACTTGAATAAGTCCATTCATATCTTCTGACAGGCTCTATATGCAGATCATCACCACTAGTATTTTTCCACTTGCTTTGCGCCCCATCATCCCGCAAAACAAGGCAACATGATATCGCGAGCGGCCAACTTCACCCCACTTTAAGACTCATATAAAACCCGACGAATTCCCCCGCCATAATCAACTCGAAAACAGCACCATCTTGCCGCTCGAGCATCATTCTCAGCAGATACGTCTCTCTGATATACCTGAAATTTCCAAATAATGGCTACTGAAGCTCCCAATCCCCGTGTCGGCGTCGCGGCCGTCATCGTCAACAACCGCGGCCAAGTGCTCGTGGGCAAACGCAAGGGCAGCCACGGAGCCGGTAGGCAACTTGCGGCGGCCCCCAAAAAAAGGGATTCGAGATGCTAACAATCGTCATGTGGACAGGCACTTGGCAGTTTCCGGGTGGACACTTGGAGCACGGCGAAGGACTGCTCGAGTGCGCCGTACGTGAGGCAGACGAAGAAACGGGCCTTTCTCTGCAGGGCATCAAGATTGCGACCCAGACAAACGACATTTTCAAAACCGAGGGCAAACACTACATTACACTGTTTGCCAAGTGTGTCATGAACGACCCCGACGCAGTTCCCGAGGTCAGTCTTTTCATTGCGTCGGTCGTTTTCGTAGCTTGTTGCTGACTCTGCCCATAGCTTCGAGAACCGAACAAGTGCGAGAGATGGGTCTGGTGGGATTGGGAAAAGTTTTTTACAGGCCGTGAGACTGGCGAGGTAGATGGCGAGAAACTCTTTCTGCCCATGGAAAACCTCTTGAAGCAGTTTGACAGTGTCACCGAACTCAAGAAGATGTTTCAATAGAGTACGGGGTCTGTAGCTCACTGGATACGTGCCTTTTCCAAATATGGATTGCTCTTCTTCCATCCTTATCCATGGTTGGGAATCTCGGTACTTTTGCGCAGCGTTGTTTGGTACGGATGTAGGGACGAAAGCGACTGAGGTCATTGATGGGCCATTTCTTTTGTCAGCCCAGAGGTCTGTAAAGTAAATAATCATGTTCAATTAAAAATATTTTCATGAGACCATCGCTCTTTATGGTCTGGCCATTACAATGCTTCCATTACGCCTCCCCCTGGCCAAGAAATTCACTCCAACATCCATCGGAGTAGTATCGAGAACAGCGTGCGCTTACTCAAAATTGCGCCTGACCGAGACCTTGACGCAGGTAGGGTTCTGTGGGCCAGCCTTGCCGTAGACCCAGCTGAGCGTCTTGTAGCGGTAACCAGTGAAGTAGGTGTTGCAGATATACCAGTTCGCAATGGGCTTTGGCACGTCAACCTCGATGGGGTCCTTGGTATCGTCTATGCTGGAGACGAGGAAGAGCTCGTCGTCGATGAACCGGACCTGCTGGCCGTTGACGGGGCCGGGGAAGAAGACAGCTTGGGCGACGTTGGTGGAAGGATCGGGAATAAGGCGCATGGCAGAGTCGACGGGGAGGTCTGGGAGGGGCTTGTTAGATTGAATTGGTCACTAGGGGGGTGGGATATACACATACTGGAAGGCAGAAGCCACGTCAGGAGGCCGTTGTTGGGATCCTGTCCCCTGGTCGAGTTGAGGTGCATGGTGACAGGGCGGTTGGTGAGGCAAAGATTCTCGATGGCGGCGCCTGAGTGGCAGGCACTAATGTAATTGCCGTCGACGCCGGTATCGTAGGACTTGAGTTGGATGTTGAAGGGCTCGGATTGGACAGGCTGGGCCGAGACGGCAAAGGTGGAGGCCAGGAATGAGGTGGCAACAGTAGCAGTCTTCATGTTGAGATATGTTTGGTGGTTGTGATTATGAATGTAGTTGATGTTTCTAAAGATATGAAGCCGAGATGAATGTTTGCGGGGTGGATGTCGATATGAACCGTCGACAATGGAGGAGCAAAACCTCGTCTATATATGGGATCCGTAGCGTATGCATGTTTTGCACGTCTCGGGAAAGGGAAGTGCGATGTGACGTCAAAGTCCACCAGGGTCCCCGGCTCTGTGCAGGAGCTGTCGCCCGCCACCTTCCAGAGGATCGCCGCCGTTGTCGGGGCAGGTGGCAGTTTGCAGATACGACAACGTTGGCTGGTGGCTGCGACGCAATGACGTCTTGGGCTCGTCTGTTTTGGTAGCGTAGCGTCGAAGCTACAAAGTCTTTTTGCCATTTATTTCTTGTTACGGCTGACCCTGGGCGCCAAGTCTACGGAAATGTCATGGCTTCTGTGTCAAGAAAGCCATGATGATCCTAGCTTGTGGTGAACACCAAAAGATGAAGATGAGGTCAGGGTAGGCTCCACCACGACCACTTTGCGGGGGTTTAGGGCGAAGCGCTAGGCTGGTTGGGGGGGGGTTATAGCGGGCATGGCGCTGGGGTATCTCGTATTAGGTATTGATGTTTTAGCGCTTAAGCGTCCTTTTATAGCGGGGAAATTGTGCCAGTCATCCACTAAATGCATCCTAAAAACCCTCTCAATCATTACAACCCCACTGAAGCACCCTGCCAACCCGCGAAATCCACTCTATCGCTGCACCCATTCATTCACAATTCAGCCATTCAAGCATTGCCATCTTGCCATCCATTCATCCACCATCGTGCCATTGTCATTCTCTCTAACAAATTTGCCAGTTGCCAGTCTCAGGAAGCCCATAATTCACACTTGATATCTCCATCTCTCAATTGCCAAGCGATACCATGCAGTCTACCACCATCGCCGTCATTGTCTTGGCACTCGGCATTTTCGGGCTTGTCGTTTGCCAAACATGCCACCCTTGCCTAGGAGGAACCTTGGTTCGTTGCACTAGGATACGACCAAGAATAGCTAAACAAGAGGGGGATGATTGGTTTTGGCTGGGTTCAAGTTGGGAACTGAAAGAATTCGTTTACTGAGCGAACATCTGTATCCTCTGCTCCAGTCACATAGCCTGTATGCCTGGCAATGAGTGACAGTGTGTGTGGATGCCGGCAGGCGCCCGGAGGCAGGTGAGACCAGCATAAAAGTCAACCCCATATCCGTGCAATTCACCATTCGCTATTGTCAAGTCACGGCTACTACTAGAAGTTAAGGAACAGAGAAAAAAACTCGTTACTAAGTAGGTTTGAAAGGCTAGACAGGGCCAGAAATGGCTTGCATGCACGTACTCTGTCGCATGGTTGTGTGCTGCTTGATGTAGGCGCATGGTAGTTGAGTCAACCTACTTACGATGACTCATGTCGATGGTAGCTGATGTAATTCACCATCTTGCGAAAAGTCAACTTCTTTTCCGCCTTTGTCCGTTCTCATACTTTTCGGGCGGTTGGCGGGTTTAATGGCGTGTGCGCCTGACAACGCGGCAATGCCACCATTCACTGACGACTTGCAAACAGAGCTACCAGCTTCCAATCTCCAATGCTCAAGGCCATGGTAAATGAATAAATATCTTGCTGCTCCTACTCATGTTCCTTTGCCTCTTCCTTTTCCATTCCAACATTTGTGGCCGCGTCTTGATCATGCCTCGCCCTGGGAAATTCCGCGAGGAAGAGCTGCGTACTACTCATCAAGCTCAATCCATTCATCGCTACGCATTTTCTTCTTCTCTTTTTGTTGGCCGAACTCCGACTGATCCTCTTCGTTCTCCAGGAACTACCAGTTCGCGCCGTCGTCGTGAGCAAGACATGGCGGCCGGCCCTTCCCAGAGTCATGGGCGAGGAGCTCCTCGCTCTTCTACCACTCGCCTTCAAAGCTACCAAGAGGAAATGGTGAGTAATTTGAATGTTGAGTCGAGATCTCTTCTGACTTCTCGAGTAGGTACATAGCGACCAAGGGGCTCCCGATTGGGGTTGGAATTATGAATACGTGCATCGCGACGAGTACGCCAGACTCGAGAATGAGCGCGATTTGTTGTTTCGTGCCCTCCAACGCCAGGTAGCCACCAATCCGCCTGCGCAGCCTCTTCCCAGCATACCCGGTCTTATAACCTCCGAGCAGCGGTATGCTCTGGTTGCCTATATTCTCATGTGCCAAGAGCAAGATCGAATCGCCGCGCATAACCAGCTTCTTCGTGAAGCGGAAGTTGCTCGTCAAGCAGAGGCGCGAGTTCGCCGTGAGCGCCGTGAGTGCCGTGAGCGCCGTGAGCGCAGTGGCACGTCCTATTACTATTATAGATATGAATACATATGCCAATGGATTGAATGATATACATTGGAAATATTTAGCTTGCTTACTGCCCATGCAAGCCCAAGCCCTAATATGTAGCTCTATAACAAGAATAGTGACATGGTCATAACGAGATTATAAATAAATAACAATCGCTAGATGTGTTCGAAAGAAGAAGGTGAAAAAAAGGTCTTTCAAGACTGGCAGCCAAGCACGTTGGCCTATAGATCCTAGCCGGTACGACCATCGCTAGAGTCGTCGGGATAAACTGCGCAAAATTGTTAGTTTGGATGATCTTGAACGGTTCGGTCCGATGGGGGACATACAGAATGAGCAAACGGCAATGATGGCGTAGAGGCATATCAGCAAGAAACCTTCCAGCCAGTGGCTCTTGCCGTCGCCGATTAGGTAGTTTGTGAGAAGCACGGCGACAAACATGACGGCCACCTGGAACTCGTCCAGGCTGAGGTCCATGTACTCGTTGCCGAGGCCCCAGCCGATGATGACGAGGAGCGGAATGAGAAAGAGGGCAACCTGCATGCTGGAGCCAACGGCCACGCCAATGGCGAGATCCATCTTGTCTTTGATGGCGACGGTCACGGCGGTCGCGTGCTCGGCGGCGTTGCCAACAATAGGCAGCAGAATGAGGCCGACAAACTCTTTGCGCAGGACCGTGGTCTCGGTCAGGCTGTCGATGGAGTCGACCATGAACTCGGCGCATAGTGCAATAATGACAGTGGAGATGAGAAGGGTGCCAATGGCGACGAAAAAGTGCAGCTGGGGGTCATCTTCATCGTCTTCTTCGTCCACTTCGGGGTTTGTCTGGTTTTCGACGGGCGCCGAACCCAGATTCTGCTCCTCTTGGCTGTGACGATTCTGGCGCATAAGAGCGCTGGCACCAGGCATATGGGAGAAGCCCTCTTTCAGGCTCTGTCCATGCGTCCACGGTCTTGCAGCAACCTTTATGCTTTCTTCGTTGAACACGTCGAGATGAGTATGCAATTGGAAGAAGAGATACGCAAAGTACACCAGGAGCAGAATGACGGCAGTGCCGCGCGACAGCTTGGCAATTTCCGTCTGGTCCGCTTTCGTCTTGAGCTCAAAGACGGTCGGCACAATGACGGAAGCGACGGCCAGGGCGAGGAGTGACGCGGCCGTTTGCGCGACAGTCGTGTTGAAATGCTGCTCTCTGCGGCGCAGGCCGCCAAAGAAGAAGCAAAAGCCCATAACGAGCAGCAGGTTGGAGAGAATGGAGCCGATGAGCGAGGTTTGCACGACGACGATTTCGCCCTTAATAAGAGCGATGATGGCGACAATGAGCTCGACAGCGTTGCCAAAGGTGGCGTTGATGAGACCTCCGAGGGTCTCGCCGGTCCGTAGAGCAATCTCCTCGGTAGCGAAGCTGAGCATGGCAGCGAGGGGAATGATGGCAATGAAGTTGACAACGAAGACGACAGTCGGGCTAACGCTGTGGACGTAATTGAGGGCAATGCCGACGGGAGCGGCAAAGAGCAGAATGTTGATCCAAGAGGCCAGAAACGTGCGCTGGAGCTGGTTGGCCACGGTGAACGGATGTTTGGGGTGTACGGGACGGTATAGCGCATTTGTTTTGACCTTTTTCAACGACTTGATGTCTGCCTCGCCCTCCTGGTTATCGCTGACGGATTTGGTCGCATCGCCCTCGGGTTTGCGGTTTCTGATGCCTGCACCATTGGCGGCGGCCAGGCTATTAGTCGAGGCATGTTCGTTGCCGATTGACTTTTCCTCGGCGACTTGAGTGAGCTCGGGATCTCGGTTCGGATCGGTCGTGGACGCATGTGTTCTTTGCTGCGGCGCGGTGGCGGCGTGATTGAGACGGGATCCTTCTCCTTGGGCCTCCAAGTCGCGCTCGTTACGACTGGGCGCCCACGTACCTCTGCGGTTGTTTTGATTCCAGGCGACATGGCGGAACGGGTTCCAAGTCTGTTCGGTGCTGGAGCGGCTGAGGTTGTGCGCCAGGCGCTTGACGTTGTAGGTGTTGACTGTCATTTGGTGCGAGTACGGTTAGCGTCTAAGGTGTTTTCGGGTATAAGATGCGTCGTGAATGCTAGGAGCCCATGGGGCCGCGCGCTATATCAAGAGCAGAAGTGTGATGGGGTCATTGAAAAGGAAGTGTGAAAGACTGTTGTAGTGTCGCGGCTGGTGCGGCAATGTTCCAACAATATATGTAATATGAAGGTGGGAGAGGAGGCGATGTGACGATGACAGCGCGGAGCAAACGGCCCAAGGCGAATCGCTTTGGTCAGTCGAGCAGCCAAGCCTCGTTGCGTTGCGTAGCGTCAGCTTCCCAGTGTGCCAGTGTGGGTGAGATGCAGAATGGAGATAGATGCAGGCCTAAGCAGAGGCGGCGCCACAGGCAATTGGCATGTGGTGAGTGGCAGAGTGGTGACGAACGTATGGAGAGGAGTGTGGCATTGCTGGGACATGGGCGTTTGGGGCCAAGCAGATTCTGGGATGTGGATAAGATCACAAGTCGACATAGCTTATCACCTTATTAGCGGCCTGGCAGGATCCTCTGTATGGGTGGGCCACCATAGAGGAAAGAAAAGCCTGCTTGCCAACCAGCTTGGTAAGGTAGGCGATGCTGCACTTGCAAAGCAACCTAATAACTTGTTCGGTACTTGTGTTATCCCTGCACTTGCGATGAGGGCCTGTGCATCCGCGTGAAACCTCTATTAAGGCTGCAGGCTCGTGCAGAAGAATCTGTTTGCGCGCGCGGGAACATGGCAGAAAACATGGGGTTCATTCGACAAACGGGGGTCGACAATTGATAAGACGGTCAGACTCACAGCTCATTGTTTGGTTTCAGTGAGGCGTTCGCTCCACTGCAGCGGTAATAACTGCAGAAGCGGGTGTGGATGAGTCGACTCCGGGTGAGTGAGCTTGGCAGCTTGGCTTTGGGCGTCGGTGAGTGAGCGGGCGCCCGGGAAAGGGGTAAAGCCGCTGGCCAAGAGATTCCAAGAGATCGATCACCGGCAGCTGAGACCGACTTTCTTGGCGTTGATGAAAAAAAGTAAAAAACGGAATATATTCAAAGAAGACGAAAACCTGTGTTGCAGACTGCTGTTAGCGAGAAATTCTTTTCAATGTCCAAACCTACTACAGCCAGCGGGCGGCCTCACAGCCCATCCGTCCTTCGTCCTTCACTCTCCCTCCCCTAGGCCGAATTTGTTTCAAGCTTGCAATGTCAGTCTGCGGAGGCGACGAGGCGCAGCAGCGCACCACGCCAAAAAAGGACGAGATGAATGAATAAAAATGCAAGATTGTAGCCCGTTCCCGGCTCCGAAAGCGTGACAAATGGCGTATGCGACCTGACGAAAGACTTACTCTTTTGAGAGAAAGATTGCTGGGGGACCGTTTCGACGCGCAGTCAGCTTATCAGTACCGCACAGCCCAGGCTGGGATGCGCTTGTAAAGAGTGACAGAAAACAACGATGGCTTCCTTGGTCGCGCGGTCAATTTTTCTGTCACCGCAGAAAGGGCTGGTGAAAGAGGAGGGAGGGAAGAGTCCTACTTCTTATTTGTTTTTGTCCACAGAAGTATGGCCGATCTGCGCTCCTTCAAGCGGTCGCAAGTTGGTCACATAAAGCAAGAAAAGAGTTACGCGTGGGAAAAAAAGGTTTGGCCCGACCGGGTCTGGCGACGCGAGGGCGAGAGATTGTCGAATCAACAGGCCGAGAGGACTGAGCTAGTTAGATCGAACCCAAAAAAAAAGACAAAGAGCGGCGAGAGATGGAAAGTAGCATGCGGAAAGGGGTGACAGTTTGCATTTGAAACGCACGGGCAAAATAACAAGGCCCAACCTCGGTGACCTCGATTCCTCATTTCTGCCTAGGTAGTTATTAGCTTCTATTCACTAACTAGCCTAAACGCATCACCAAACAGATGGCTTAGGCCCAAACCCGCGTAACTAGAACAGGCGGCCTCCAACAACATGCTCACGACTCTCCGTCTCCCCTCATAAAATTCACCATTCATAGCCGTTATCCCCCAAAGCGCACTACATCAGAGTATCGTCCGTTGGCACCACCGCTACAACTAGTCATTAGTTGGTTGCCAGTTGCCTACCTAACTACCTAGTTTCCAGCTCTCTGCCCCCAACTGTCAAGCTAGCCCAAAAGTGCCAACCCCATAGCGAATCCCAATAGCAGTAGAGCATCTCGGTGGCTTGAGCTGGACTGCATGGACAGCTTCGTGGCACTCACAGTCCCTGTTCTCACCTGTGCGCCTTGCATCATGTCGTCATGGCCTAGCCAGTAGCCACTCACTAGAGCACCCAACGCACGGCTGCCCTGCTCTTCGTGAGTGGCCCAACGCTGACCACGTAATTTGTCATACCAGAATTACTAGTCATTAAAAATGAGGAATGAAATAAAGAAAGAAGCTGTATTAATCATAACCATCGTAGATATCTTGTATCGTTTCAGCAACATGCGTCTGTAATAAATCAGCTCATGGGTATGTATCCGCCAAATGTGAACGCCATTTTTCCTAGGCTTTATCCGCGGTAGCAAGCTTCCAACGGGCCTTCTCCCACTTCATTGAACCAGTAGAATCCCCAGATGAACAAAACAAAAATCGCCTATCCGTATATACCACAACTGAAAATACCAGCCCCAACAGCCCACCAAATTAAAGCCAGGATGCATCACCATCTTCGTCGTCCGGCTCGATACTAGTCAGCCGCGGCCGTCCTCGCTTTCGCGGCTGAGAGTTTGATCGAGGACGCTTCTTCGGCCTGCCGGGTGCAGATGCTCCTTTTCTCTTCCGGCCTCTCTCGCCGCCCTCCCCATCATCATCGCCCTCGCTGGAAGTGCCTGCTGCTTCCACGTCCGCCTCCTCCTCGTCTTCCGCAACTTTAAATTCCTTGTCGACATTCATCAGCTCAATCAAGGCCTTGCACTTTGCGCCCATGCCTTGTAGCGTATCGAAGCCCGTTTCGTGTGCCGCGAGCTCTTCCCAGACCTTGTCTCCGTGTACACCCTGGACTTTGGTTGGTGTTTTATTAAGGTCCTTCGCCAGGAGCTTGGCTTTGCTGTCGTGTCGGCTGGTCCCCATATTGTACAATTTTCGTAAATGGGTTCGGGCCTCCCAAAGTAGTAGCAGTATCACTGACGCAGATGCAAGCTGGCGAAATCTTGCCGGATCTACATTTGCACCCACCACTGGTGCTTCTGCAAGATCGGCTGGCTCTCCTTCGGCATCACCTGATGCTTCCTCGGTCGCAGTCGGTGCATCCAAGTCCATGCGCATGTTAAAAATCTCAGATTCAATCGCTTGTGCAACAGTGGCTCCCGTTGTAGTCACAATCTTCTCAATGGTGTTGACCGTCGTATGCACCTCACCCATGGTGTGGTAGTCGAAATAGGTGAGGTTGTCCACTATGAACCGAGCAAAGGCAACCTGCTGCGGGACGCCGCTCTTGGCATTGAGCTTGTTGAGATCAAAATCGACCTGGTAACAAAGCTTCTCCAGAAACCGCTGCTTGTTTCTCATCTTGCTGATTTTGAGCACCTCCATCAGCAAGTGCAGTTTGGCTTGAAAGGGATCTGTTGTAGCACCATGGGCATCTTTGACAATATCGCGTTGGTAGTTGAAAGCCGATTGTACTGCCTTAACATATTCTCGCTCCAAAACTGTCTCGTGCTTCTCGTGCAGCGACCTGTGCTCCGTAAATGCCAATTCCGCAATCTTTTTGTTGGCAGATGTTTCCAGCGTGATCAAAGCCACACCAGTTTCTTTGGGATGGGTCAAGCCTTGACGGTTGATACTGCCCAGAACTTCCATAGCCAGGAATGCGTACTCGTCCTGGCTGGAAAGTGCTATGCGGGTGAAGTCCTTGAGGAACCTCTGCGTTGTGGCGCTGGCAACGTCATCAAAATTGGTCCCGCCCATTATTGTGAGTTCTCGTTTACCACCAGCGGCAGCAGCTTGAGATGAAGCCTCCGATCGTCGCTCTTCTCCCATCAGAAACTCCTTGAAAGACCTAAGAATCATAGTTTCCAGCATGGGAATTTGATCCTGGAAAACTTGCTGAAACGCCGTATAGACCTTTGCAAGCACATAGTTCCGCGGCCACGACTGGCATACCAATCCAATGGCCTCGAGTGCTGCTTTTCTGGCTTCGAGGGGTTGCTTGGGATTGGTAAAGGGGGAAACAATATCCACGATCAAACGCGGCACTGAGTCGCCCTGCCACTTTTGAAATCTTGCTCTGAATATCTCGATTTGCTGATCCAGATCACAGTGCTTTGCCACATTGCCGACAATGATTGCGTAGGCACAGAGAACATTGAGACGTTTTGGGTCTAGAGGGGCAGTTGCAATCTTCTGAATACCCACCAAGCTGGAGGCGACTAGGTTAGCCATTGGGCTAAAGTCGTTCAGTAAATCGCAAACGACCTTGGCACAGGCAATCAGGTCGTCGAGAGCGCCTCTGGATGAGATTTTCCCAACGCCTTGGAGAAGTTGCTTGCGCACCTCTCCCAAAAACTGTGAGTGTACAGTAGACAGTTGTGGAAGTACCCTCTTATATATGACTGTAACTGCGCGGAACGCAGCCAGCTCTTCTTGTCCGGAAAAGCTGGCAAGCTGAGGTTTCAAAAGACGAATCTGTTCAAAATTGAATAGTTTTGGGTCTGCATTTGCAAAAATCGTGAGAACTTGAAGTGCGTCTCTGCCGGACGGCCCTGACGACTCTTCTGAGTCTGGGTTGTCGAGTAGCCCAAACATATCGCCGACTAGCTTCGAGCAGACTGAAAATGGGCCCTCTAGCGACTTGTTATTGGGCCGAAGAATTGTTTGAAAGACTTTGTCGAGGACTTCTGTAGCGGTTCCTGTTTTGACGGTTTGAATAATGAGAGCAACATGCTCCGCGATTGCAGTCTGGTAGGCAGCTGTTCCGTCGTTTGAGTAAAATGGAGCAAACCAAACCTCCTCGATCATCTGGCGAGCCAGATCGCGCACTCCCTCGTCTGGATCCTGGACACGCCGAAGCAGGCCATTCGCAATAGCACAGCGTAAGCCCTTATTCTTATTGCGCAGATAAATGTCTCGAGCGAGCTTCATAGCACGTTTTCGTACGCCGACGCCGGCATCTTGGAAGCGGTCGATGATCTTTGGCGTCAACGATGGTTCAAGAGCTGGACGCATCGTGATGCAGCTTCCGAGCAATCCCAAAGCAGAGTCTCTGACCTGAGTGGAAGAGTCACTTGAGCATTCCAAGATTAGTTGAATTACGCTGGAATCTCCGTCCAGGATAGAGGGGTCAGTCTCTAGAACTTGGTTGATACTCTTGAGACTCTTGCTCCGGACAGTTGCTTGATCGCTGGCCATAGAACCAAGCAGAATATTGAGAATGTGGCCGAAAGACTCACAAAGCGGCGACCGAAGGAGTATAATGGTAAAAGCGAGCTTCGCTTGATGGGTGCTGATTGCTTTGAATGTATATTCGCTAGCAAGCCATTTGCGATCTGCGACCATCTTCCTAAGACGGTAAGCCAGACGACCTAGCTCGCTGTCTCGCTCGATCTCTTCATCTTTGATAGAATCGTACGCGATGTGTGTCCTGTTTGCCCAGTCTGTGATAACAAAAGCTACAGCACTAGCCAGGTGCTGATCTTCTGTGCTTCTGCTTTGCAAGTACTCAAGCACGGCACGAAACGGTCCTGCCCAAGCAACTAGATACTCTGGTTGAACCTTTTGGTCCAGAATATGGATGGCAAGATCAGCAAGATATCGTGACATTTCGTCTGCGTCGGCTCCCTCAAAATTGGTAGCGGTGCGTTTGACATGGGAGCGCAGACGGGAGATAGCCGCGCTCATGGAGCCAAGAAGTTCCAACGCCATATTTTTGGCAGGGACGGCTGTCTTTTGACCCTCAAACAGCTGCACCATGCGCAACATGAGGAGGCGCAGCAGAAGCTCGGCGCAAGGCCAATCGGGTGAGTCGAGGCACACGGTGAAGTCGTCCACAAATAGATCCAGTAAGTTGCGATATGGTGTGTCGCCCGATTTCGTAGAACCAATAGCTCTCTTCACGATGAAGTTGATCACGTAGGAGGCGTTTCGCGTAGCAATGTCATACAAGGGACTTGATATTGTGTCCAGCTCTTGGATGGCGATTGCATGCTGTTGAGAAGCATGATCATCACTGGTCAAGGACGATACCGCTTTTCCTTGCCTAGAGGCTGCTTCGGTGATAGCAGGCTCCCCCTCTGCATCTCCGTCCAGATCTTTCAACAATGCCGCTCGGCGACCCTCGCCACTCTGGTCGACCTTTCCCGAACTCGACTGAATCAACCGCATTATTAGGGCAGACACGGGTTGGATACTACCGCCATCAGCTAATTTGAATTGCTTCGAGCTCTGTTTGCCGACTGGAAGTTTTTCTAGCGATGTGAGAATGTCGTCAATGATGCCCTGCCGTTGTTCAGGCTTGTTAACAAAAATTTGGCAAAGAATGTCCATGGCTACTGAGCGGATGCCGTCAAACTTTTGTACTCCGATAACAGACTCGCGCTCAACGTGCGCGTTGTCAACAAATATCAGTTTCGAAGCAGTATACTCTAGAGTATTGATTGCGGTCTCGGAAAGCTCAATCTTGGCAATCAACTCTGCGATCAATGCAAACAGCTTTTGACACGTAACAAATATTGTTGACAGTGTCTTTTTGTGCTTAAACAAAAGCTTGAAGATGCTTGCACCGGTGCCGCTGCTTCCCAATTCCACCAGAGGCATAATGATATCCTCAGTGACGGTTTTGCAGAGGTTAACGCAGCTAAGGATGATGGCTTCCACATATAGCTGCTTGTCTTCTCTGCCACCGGACAAAATTCGAAGGCATGTTCTTGCAGCTTTCATGGCCGTTTCAACTTCTGCGAGTTGTGTAACCCATGCATCTGCAGCCGCCTCGTCCCAGTTTTCATCAATGTGGATATCAATTATATCCATATATTTGAGACTGGTTTCACTGAGCTTGATGATTTGAAGCAGGTTCTCCACAGAGACCTTATCAAATGTTCGGAGGTCGATAGCTTTCTGCAGTGCGCCGTGCAGCTTTTGATGAGTTCCAGCTGTCATGGCAACTTCTTGGTCTGGCATCAACTTTACGATGTGGTCGTACCCTGGCTCCATTGCGAACGCATACCCAACAGCGGAGAAGATGTTGCGAAGCTGGGACTCTAAGGCATCGAGTGCAGCCTCTCCGCGCTGACGCTGATCAAGGCCAGAGCCCATGAGATCCTGCCCCCCTTGCCCATTCCCATATCTCCGGGCTGACAAGTTGTTCGGCGCATCAGGCGCAACTGTCACATCGGCATACTCTTCTCTTTTACTCAAGGTAGGGAACTCGATGCGCAGGCCCCTGGCCAGCTCCGATGTATCAACAATGATCTCATCAGCTTCGAGAAGAGGCGGAGATGACGCATTTTTCGCAGGCACCGAGTTTGTGTCTACGGATTGCATGTAAGAGTCGCCATCCTCGTAAGCAGTCGGGTCAAAGTTCTTCGAAGCTGTGATAGCGATCTCGACTTTAGCAGAACTCGGCTGAGCGGCTTCGACATGCTTTGTGCCCGCATTTCGGGTCGCGTTTGGTGTCTTATTTTCGAAAGTGTTACTGGGCGGCTTCTCGGGAGTCTTTTCGTGGAGTTTTTCCGAATCGTGCGACGGCTTGCGGGCATGTGATGGGGCGGCGCCATTAACAGCTTTGTCGGGCTTAACATTGTTCTTGCTAGCCTTGAAGTATGTCTCAACTCGTTCATGCACGGCCTGCGTCACAGGTGTGAGGCCATCTGTGCAAGATTTTCTCGACGCAGGTTTCGGTCGACCGCGCGGGACAGATCGAAAGTTGCTGAAGAAGTGGTCAGAGACAACGGGCTCGAACGCAGATCACGATGCGGAACTTACTATTGAGTGCGCTGCGCAGGCTTCATATCGTGAAGTACAAAGTCGACAGCTTGCTTAATACTCTTCGACTGTTGATCTTGCCCAGTAACTGCCTCGCTGTTCAGATTATCAAACTCCTGTCGAGGAAACAAGTGGGAGACGGGTTCAGCTGGTGAGCCGGAGCCGATAGAAGGATCGGGAATGATGTCTGCCAGTACATTAGTCGGCATCGACGCAAAGAAGCAAGCGCAACCGCATACATGGAATGAAAGGGACCGTCGAGGTCTGCGGCGAGTAGGGGAGAGCTTGTTGCAGAGTTAACGGCCGTGAAATCGTAGCAGCTAGGTTCGCCTCCTCGCGTCGGCTGCTAAGGCCATTTTGAGGACCGTTCATTGTGCCAGAGTAGATTGGTGCTGTTTGTCGTCGTCGTTACGGCTGTCTGTCAGCTGGCATTGCGGGCCGAAGAAGCTGCCCGGCAATGGCGCATCGAAGGTGCAAACGCAGGGGCAGTCTCGGGAGCAGCAGTGAAGTCGCCCGCTGTCTGTCGCAGCCAGTAGAGACGGAAAGAGAGTACTGGCCGCCACGCCTCCTCGTAGTGTTGAATGAGGATTGTAGAGCGCTGTCTGAGGCGACAGAGAGCTAGCAATGGGATCGCATCGGCGCAATAGTTTGTTGGGCTGTTGCGAGCAGCTAATAGATGAAGCAGCCTGCAGTTGCGAAGCAATCCCAAGGCAGAACTCCCCGATCCGGTTTAGTTATGGTAATAGCGGGCTGGTTGACCAGTCAGCGCATTTTTCCTGCAGCTTGGCCGCATTGGGCCTGTCTCCTGTCCGCCAATGAAGTTTTGCATACGAGCCACATTCTCCATTTATATTTTTCACCTGCACCTTGTCGCCGAGCTTCGCAACAGAAAAAAAGCGGTAGAGAAACAAGTCTTTCCAACGACATACTCAAAAAATCATTCACAATGGCAGCAATCGGATCACTAGTCTTTTGCACTGACTGCGGTAATCTTCTGCCTTCCACCAAAGGCACAGATAGGAATATGCTGAAATGCGAGTGCTGTGGTGCCGAAAACCAAGGTTCGTTCTCATCTAATGTTGAGTAGGAGAACACGCCCGACAATTCTGACCATTCTGCTTTGAATAGACACTGGAGCGAGGACCACCCTTACTCAGTCGAAGCCCTCCGACTTTCCATCATTTCTGCGTCAAAAGCTGCAATCCAGTGTCCAGGCCGTCGAGCGACGCAATATCCAAACTGATAACACGGTCAATGAGACTTGCCCGAAGTGCGGTCGCGAAGAGGTTCGGTACACCAATGTACAGCTTCGCAGTGCGGACGAAGGCTCAACCTTATTTTATATGTGTGACTGTGGTTATACGTAAGTTTGAACCCACGACCGCTACAGTCGGCAGCACGCTAACACAACATTGCAGGTGGCAAGAGAACAATTAAAGCGCTGCTCGAATGTAATTTTTATTTATTTTAGGCCGAAGCACCAGCGACTTCTGGGATCAACGCATATTCAGCCTCTCCGCTCTGCTCATAGTCGACCATGTCGAGCGCAACAATTATACTTTCGCGAACTACCTTTTCCTTGTCATGGAGAAAAGGTCTGAGAATATCTTCAACGCCCTCCTCTTCTCCAAGACTACCAAGAGCCTCTGCAGCTTCGTGGCGCACCATGCTTGCCTCGTTGACGTCGCTGAGTGCCTTTGTCAGGGCGGGGATCGAAGCAGGGTGTGAGAGCTGGCCAAAGACGAAAGCAATCTCGTGTCGGAACAGCGCAGAGGGATCGTCTAAACCCTTGGCGAGCGCAAGGACGGCGGGGACGGCAGTGGGCAGGTCTGGCGGCGAGGCCAGATCCCGCAGAGAGAACATGGCGCGGTATCGCAGGAAGAGCGGTAAATTCTCGTCCATTAGCTGTTTTCCGAGTTCTTCGACGTTTTGTTCAGTTTCGACGGCCGGTGGCGCAGGATCGATGGACGCAAAATCACTATGTAGGCGTTAGTTAGAATCAAACAGCACCTCTTTGACACCTGCAGATAGATGCGCACCTTGGCTTGAGCTTTTCCTTTTGTCTATCCTGGGAGCTGGACCATTCAATACGATCGATCGCAATCTCGCAAGTCTCAACGACAGATATATCCTCGCCCTCGCGATCACGGAAGTGCTTCAGCAGCTCCAGGCTCTCAGCGTGGCCCAGGGCACCGAGGGCTTCCGCGGCCTCGTGGCGTACCATGGAATCTTCCTCTAGATCGCACAAAACTTTACGCAGGGGTTGGACTGCGGCATCGTTGGCCGTCTGGCCCAAGCAGTAGGCGAGTTCATGCTTCAAAAGGGCAGAAGGTGACGCGAAAGCGGCCGCGATGCCCTCGATGGCGGGGCCCGCAGCGCTCTTGTCCGTGACGGCCATGTGCTTCAAGGAGAAGAGAGCCCGAAAGCGGAGGGGCAGGGGAGTGGCCTCGGAGACCAGGCTCTCGCGGAGCTTTTCCACAGTGACTGTCGCCATGGTATATATAGTATCGTCTCGATCGCACAACAAAGATTCGCAAGAGCGCGACCGGCTCGCACCCTGAAGGATCTGATTAAAGAAAAATTTAGGTGGGGTGGTGCGCCGATAACACCGACCCCTCCATTTGCTTGGCCCGAGCAAATTTGAGTCTTTATAGACTAAAGTAGCGGCAAATTTGCCAGCCTTCCATGGGAAGTGGTCAACCACTTCAAAGGTTCCATGGTCTAACGGTTATGACTGCGGATTCTGATTCCGCCAGCGAGGGTTCGACTCCCCCTGGAACCTTTTTTTGCGTATTGAGGCAACTTTCGTCTACTTTTTTTTGGGTGAGGCTTCATAAGAACCATGGTCTATAGTCTTCCTTGGAACTTTTTTATTTCTCATTCTCTTCTTCATGTTGGCTTCTTGTTTTCTTTGGCGACAGTGAGTGCATATGTACCTTCTACGCGTTTGCGCGTAAAGTGCCGACGCCGGAGTGTGTGACGCTACCCTGTAAAAAAGGACTTGATGATTTTGATGTGCTTTCTTTGCGTTTTCCAATCTTTTTCGTGTTTCGGGGTGTCTCTTATGTCTTTATCAAGAGATGCGCATCACTTGGTTGGTTTTGATCTTGTCCTTGGACTTTGATGTGGTTGGATTACATATCGGTCAAATCACGAGCAGGCATTATTAAGCTCACACTATCCACACGCTCACTTGCCACTTGCGACACAGGCACTCAGCCAACTCTACCACTTTCACCCGCTTGTTAGACAGCCAATACCGCCACGAAAAAAATTCGCGCACATCGCGAGTATGGCGCCGTCTCTCGAGCAGACCGAATCGGTAGACGAGGTGCTCGCCAATCCTCTCAAGCAGAAGCCGCAGCTTGTGGCCCCGGAGCCGGCGCATTGTCCCGGGCCCGAATCAGAACAGGCCGGCGCGGCAGACTCGTGCGCGGGGTGCCCGAACCAGGCCATCTGCGCGTCGTCAGCAGCCCAGGGTCCCGACCCCGACATCCCCATCATCGCGTCGCGCCTCGCAGACGTCCAACACAAGATTCTCGTCCTTAGCGGCAAGGGCGGCGTCGGCAAGAGCACATTTACGTCGCTGCTGGCGCACGCGTTTGCGACCAACCCGGACCGCACCGTCGGAATAATGGACACGGATATCTGCGGACCGAGCATACCAAAGATGATGGGCGTCGAGGACGAGACGATTCACGTCAGCGGCTCCGGGTGGTCGCCGGTCTGGGTCATGGATAACCTCGCCGTTATGAGCATCCAGTTCATGCTGCCGAGCCGCGACGAGGCCGTCATCTGGCGCGGGCCCAAGAAGAACGGCCTGATCAAGCAGTTCCTCAAGGACGTCGAGTGGGGCGACCTGGACTTCATGCTCGTCGATACGCCGCCCGGCACCAGCGACGAGCACCTCAGCGTCAACTCGTTCCTCAAGGCGAGCGGCATCGACGGCGCCGTCGTCGTCACCACGCCGCAGGAGGTTTCGCTGCTCGACGTCCGCAAGGAGATTGACTTTTGCCGCAAAGCGGGCATTCGCATTCTCGGCCTCGCCGAGAACATGAGCGGCTTCGTGTGTCCCAACTGCAAGCACGAGAGCGAGATTTTCAAGGCCAGCACGGGCGGCGGCCGCGCCCTTGCCGGGGAGATGGGCATTCCGTTTCTCGGCGCCGTTCCGCTGGATCCGCGCATAAGAATGGCCTGCGATTACGGAGAGAGTTTCTTTGATTCGTTCCCAGATAGCCCAGCGTGCAAGGCTTTTCAAAGTGTGGTGCGCAATCTAGCGCAGGAACTGGGGCTGGATACCCAGGACATATTACCGAGTTAATCACCGTTCTGTAAAAATGGAACAAAAATTTGTATATAATGATATGACGACATTTCATATGCTATAATGATAACCAAATGCTTCTTTTTCCCATCATCAGTCAGATGCCAGTTTCTTGGGTATATCTTCGAGATCTTCGACGGATCTAATGTCAATGACGCGACCTGCCTCGCTCGTACTTCGCATAAGCTCCTTGGCGCCAGCATAAATCATTCTCATCTCGGCATTGCATGTTTCGGGGAGATAGTACAGCAGGACGTAGGGCACCGAGGCTCGGCCGTCGCTCTGCGCAGAGAGGGGTCAGTCCTGGCCTCACCTTGAACAAGCCTACGCGCGCGCGCGCGAACTCACCAGTGTCAGCGGATAGCTTAGGAGCACAAAGCGAGGCGAGTGATCGGGGAGATCATCGCCAATCTCCTCTAGTGTGTTGTATACCGTCTTGTCGTCGTCCTGGCGAATTTCTTGCGTGTTCTTGTCGACCAAGTCTAATTGAAGCTAAGAATTAGCGAGCATACCGTCATAGCCGGGGGGTCGAATTGAAGGCTCACAAATGACCGCCTGAGGGTCCTTGGCACGGGATGTTGACAGGCGGAACTTGCGCAGGTGCTCCTTGGTCTCCCCAGAGAACGTATATAGCCTAGACTCGGATGCCTTCAGAGAGTCCTGTTAGCAAAAAATACCAGAATATTACCTCGGAGACGCGCACCATTATGGTATTGTTCCACGAGCACGTTGTTTCAGGAATTAGCTGCGGTAGATGTACACCGACGATGTTGCTCTCAGCAATTGGTCTCTGGGCTTACGATTAGTGAGTCAGCTGCCCAGAGGTGCAGATAATAAGAAACCAGTAGGCACAAGGTTTTTTAGGCAACGTAATTCTATTATTATGTGTCTACCTAGAAGAAATCGTCCTAGGGGAAAGGTACCTAGTTTTATATAGGAAATAGGGGCTAAAGTAGGTACCTTTTCCCTTCCTTAGTTTATAATTAGTAGTTAAAAACACAATACCTTACTAGTTACTATAGCTTATATAGCCTATTATAGCTATAGCTTTAATATACCCCCTAGCTAAGGCTATTATTAATAAAGGAAGCTATATTAAAAATAAATTTTATAATATTTAGAAGAATTAACTATATAATTAAGTATTAATTCTACACTTTAGATAATTAATTATATATATATAAGCTATTAATAATATCTTAGCTACCCTCTTTTTAAGTAAGTATATAAGTATTAAGTAAGGAGTAAGTAAGTACTATACTTAGCTATAAAAATTTAAGCTTTACTTATATAAATTTATCCTCTTTTTTTAATTATTATTATATTATAAATATAATATATACTATTATAATTACTAAAAAATTACTAGTAAGGGTATTAAAACCCTTATACTTACTACCTACTATTACCTTACCTTCTTTACTACTAAGAAGACTATATATTCTTTTATTATATTAGTAAAATACTTAACTAATTATTTATTTTTAATAGAAATATTATACTAGATAGTCCTTATATATTATTACTACTAAGAAGAAGGTAATAGTAGAAGAGGAGGATAAGGATAAGGATAAGGATAAGGATAAGTCTAAGTCTAAGCTTACCTTTACTCCCCCTCCCTTTAATAATAATAATAATAATTTTATGTTATCCTATACTACCTTATATATAGTCATAGCTTTAAAAGCCTTAGCCGCCTCTATTACTACTACTACTACTACTACCACCCTAAAGGGTATGCCCTAGCTAGGTAAGCTATACCTTATCCCTTATAATAGGTATATATACTCTTACCTAGTTAGTAAAAACCTAGTAAAGTAAGCTAGTATTTACTAAGATACTATTAATAGTGCTTTATAATACTACTAGTATTATTTTAATAAGCATATATACTATTTTTTATATATTATTATACTTAAGTAATTATTTAAATACTAATTATTTTATTAAAGACCTATAAGCTATACCCTTTACCTAGGCCTTCTAAGCCTTAATTAAGGTAGAGTTTTATAAAAGTATAAGTCTTAAATAAATAATCTTAATAAGGAATAACTATTAATTATTCCTAGTACTAAGGTAAGTACTATAAGGCCTTATACCTTATTTTTAAATTATTAGAGGATTATGCTAATAGGCATAAAGATATTTTTACTAGCTTTAAAACTAAAGAGAGTTTAGGAGGTATAGTATTACTATATAAGTAGGTATTTATTATATTTAGTAAGGTAATAGATTAGGTTTTACTAAAATAGGTGTTTTTTATAGGCTAAAATACCCTTTTTTAAAGTATTACTTAAATAAATAAAATAGAAATTTAGTTACTATTTTTTTATATATTAATCCTACTTACCTATAATTATTCTCTATACCTCTATTATACCTATATAAGCTTTCTATAATATAAATAACTACTTAAAAAGGTTCTTTATTAAGCTATTTATAGGTATTTCTTTTATTATTATAAATATTAATTTAAATTATTTATTTAAATACTCTTACTTAAGCTAGAGATTATATAAATTAATATATCTTAGGTAGGTATTTATATACTTATTTATAGCTATAATTAATTAAATTATTTATTAATTATTATAGAAGATCTTATATAGTATTAGTAATTATATATATATATATAAGTAAATAATCTATATAAAGCTATAGCCTTTTTAATAGTTATTAAGAGAGCTAAAAGCTTAGCTTCTATTATTAAAGTTATAATTATTATTTAATATAATAACTTCTAATTAATTAGGCTATTATATAATAAGATAATATATCCTTACGTAGACTAATATATTATAAGGTTATTACTAAAAGACATATTACTTATTATTATAATAATATATATTTTGTTATTTATTCTAAAGCATAGTAATAATTCCTTTATAGTATATAAATATTATATAACATATATTATAATACGTATATAGTTAGGTAATAGGTTTATTAAGAACTTATTGTTACGAACACTGCTGCGTGGATGCGGGGGCTGGACCGTCTGGGTGGGCACGCCCGCAGCCTGGTTGGAACATGAGGTCACGTGATGGCTTATTAGATCATTAAGATAAGCCAACTAGACAAGATCATTAGGATAGTTAGATAAGCCTCATGAGCCTGGCCTATAGTAGAGAGGTAGACGGGTACTTAAGGAGGAGGTATTCCTATAGCTAGGTAGTCTAGGTCTCTACTGATCAATCTAAGCAATAGTTTCACTATTAAGAGTTCTACTCTTAACGAGACCTTACGCCGAAGATACTACTTATTACTACTCTATAGCATTTAAACCTAACTTACTACCTAAGAAACAGACCAACTATAGATTAGGATTAAGCTATCGTTATACTTATATAGAAAGGATATTATAAAGGCTATATTAATTCTAATTATAATTATTATATATAATAATAAGCTAATAATTACTTAGTAGCTCTTTATTTTACTCTTTAAGGTATTCCCTTTATATAGTAGAAGCTCTATAATAGGTAGAGGAGTCTTTACTATATAGAGGTTATTATTATATTTAAATTTATATACTAATTTCTTAATATAGGCTTAGTATAATAGATAAATATACTTATTAATTAAATCTTTTACTATTTTAATGCCTAGGAACTAGTTAGCTTTACCTTATTTATATAATATATATTTATTTTTAAGGCTTTATATAATTCTTTTAAGAATTATTATATATTTTAGTTAGGTAAGGGCTAAAATATTATTAATATAAAATATAATATACGCTTAATAATTAGATATATAGAATATATAGGGCTTTTCTATATATTATATAAAGCTAAGCTCTTTTAATATACTAGAAAGTTCTTAGAACTAAAGGTATAAAGAGTTATAAAGCCTATATAAGGCTTAGTATAAGAGAAGAACTTTCCTAAGCTCCTTAAATCCTTCTAGTATTATATATATAATAAGATAATTATTATTTCTTTTAGTATTTATAAACGTATTTTTAATATTAAATTAAAAGATATATATACTAAATTATATTACTAAAGTAATAATAATATAAAAAGACCTTACTATAAGTATTATAGTATATATTTCCTTATTCTTAGTAAGTATTTAAAGGTCTTTTTATATAACTATTTAAGCTTTATACCTTAAAAGTATACTATTAGGGTTAAATTTATATATAAATACTTATTTTAGTAGTATTAGCTTAACTCTTACCTCTTTATTTACCTTTAACTATATACCTATTTACTTAAGCTCCCCTATCTTAGAATATATAGTAGTCTAGAAATAATTATATAATAGGTAGGTTAATATTTCCTTCTAATTTTATAAAGGTAATAAAAGTATTATATTTAACTAGGGAATTTTTATACCTAAGATTACTTTTACTAGCCTTCTAGTATCTATATACTCTTTTATAGCTATATTAAATATTATAAAGACTATTTATAATAGCTATTAATTATTTAATATATAATTTTATTATTTAAATAGAATTATTAATAGTATATTTTTAGGTTTATTACTTAGAATTATAGTATATATTTTAGGCTTATTAAATTAATTAATATAACTTTTAACCTTTCTTTTAGCCTTTCTTTTACTTATTTAGCTACTTCTTTAATAATTATTTAATAGTTAGTCTCTAGTTATACCTACTTAACTATATAGAGGAATCTCCTCTTCTATATAAGGGGCTATAACTTCTTATATTTACTCTAAAGGTTCTATATTTAATTAATTAAGTAATTAAGTTATTAGATACTTAGGTACTTTTACCTCTAGTAGGTAGAGCTCTAATAGAATAATTATTAGATTTTCCTAAATATCTAGTTCTAGTATACTAAAGGGTATTAAGAGCCTTACTAATAGTTTATATATATAACTAGGTATAAGCTTTTTAGCTTCTACTCTTACTATCTTATAGCTAGAGTATTACTTTAATAGATAGTATATACCTTCTTATATAGTAGGTTTAGTATCTTAAAGAGAATTATTAGGTATATTTAGGTCTTACTAAGTAGGCTATTATTCTTCTTAAGGAATACTTAGCTAATTAACTAAATAATTAGTTATTTACTTAATTACCCCTAAGCTAGGGATACCTAGTAAAGTATTAAGTATAGGAAGTAAATAAGGGTATTTAAGTTCTTTAATCTCTTCTAATTAAGTTTTAACTTTACTAATTAAAAGCTTAAATAAATATTCCTTATTTATTTTATATATTATATCCTTATTAAACTAAATATTCTATATAGTAATTATATACTTAAGGACTAGAATTTAGATTTAATAAAGGTTAGTTACCTTATAGCTAATAAGGTATTTAATATAATTTTAAGAGCTAACCTTATATTATTTCTAGTTTTTATTCTCTTCTTAATTATACTTAAGGGCATAGGCATAGTAGCTATATACTAATAATAAGCCCTAGTTAAGCTACTTATTACTACCTAGTTAAGTAATAAGTAACTTTAAATTTATCTTTAGCTAGTTATATAGTATTTTATATAGTATTTACTATTTATAGTACTTCCTTAGGCTAATATTTAATAGGTAGTATATAGTAATTATAGCTTCTAATTATAGGTTTAGAGGGAGTCTTATTCCCTTAATTATTATAATTACCTTAGTCTATACTTCCTAATTTATATACTTTATACCTCTATTTAGCTTATATATTTTAAGAGAAGTAATTTCTAGCTTAATTCTAGAATAATAAGCCTAGTACTAGTAGGTACTTTGCCTATATATGCTAATAAGTATAGCTTTACTATTATAATATAGTATATATATATAAAGTTTAAATTAATTCTATACCTAAGCTAAAAAAGCTAATATATAGTTAAATAGTATATTATATGCTTAATTAACTATAGCTTATATATATAAATTACTAGTAAATTTATTTTTAATTATAAAAAGGTATTACTTATTATCTTAGCTAAGTAAATATTATATTAGTGTTACGAACGCTCCTACGTAAGGCGTGGACATGTACTATGGCGGGGTCAGCTATAGGCAAGACGCAGAATGTAACGATGGCTTATTCCTAATCCATAGTTATCTATTTCTTAGGTAGTAAGTCAGGTTTAAATGCTACAGAGTAGCTAATTAAGTAGTATTTTCGTAAGGTCTTATTAAGAGTAGAACTCTTAATACTAATTACTTAGTATTACTTAGATTAATTAGTAGAGATCTAGATTACCTAGCTATAGGAATACTTCCTCCTTAAGTACCTATTTATATCTCTACTATAAAGACTAATTACTCTAATTATCTAACTATTTATTAATTTTTAATTATAGTAATTAATAAATAATCTATTAATTACTCTTAATATAGTTATATAACTATATATTTCTTTCTTTTATAACTTACTTATAGCTAACCTTATTATAGTATATACCTATATTTTATATAAGAGTATTTATAATATAATACCCCTCCTCCTTTAGTCTTATCCTTAAGGCTATAAAATAAGCTATTTAAATAATCTAGTAATTTCTCCTCTTATATTCTTATATCCTAATATACTTACTAATTATATTATTAAATAAAAGTTAAAAGCCTCTTAAGTATTATCCCTTTATTATAATAATCTTTTTATAACTATTTTTATAAACCCCTTTCTTTTAACTATATC